ACCTGCAGAGGGCCACCTTCTCACTGTCCTCACATGGCCTTGCCTCTATGCCTGTCATCCCTGGAGTCTCTCAGTGTGGACCAATTTCCTTTGCATACAAAGACACCAGTCAGATTGGATTTAGGGCCTATCCTAATGGCCTGGTTTCAACCTAATCATTTTTAAACCCTATGTCTTCAGATAGTCACATTCTGAGGTACTCAGGCTTCAACAAATGAATTTTGGAGGACACAATTCAGACCATAACACAGGCAATGTATGTCTCAGATGAGATCTGAATGAATGATCAGCCTAACCACCAAGCAGATTCTTTTAGCAGACTGCAAGGTGCACTGGAGAGTTTTAGACTAGAGGCTTAAGAGGTCATTTAGGCAATATTTACACAACTGCTAGGTACTAGGAGTGGGGGATGTAAGAGTCAACAAAATAGTTCTTTGTTTCACTAAGTTTACAGTCTACCATGCGGAAGAGACAAATACTGAACAGGGAATTATATTACTCTCAGTAAGATAACAACTGGGAACAATTACAGGGGATTACATTATATATGGAAGAAATACAAAAAACACTTTCCCATGATTATTCCTGTAGAAAATTATTTGTGACTAGGTCAACCAAACATGGCCACTGTGAATTATCTTCTTGGGCATAGAAATGTCTTTGCTAAAAATGGATTTCTGGGGTGGCTGGCAAGATGGCTGAATAGGAACAGCTCCCAGTGAAATCGATGCAGAGGGGAGATGATTTCTGCATTTCCAACTGAGGTACCTGGCTTATCTCATTGGGACTGAACAGACAGTGGGTGCAGCCCACGGAGGGCAAGCTGAAGCAGGGTGGCGTGGCACCTCACCCAGGAAGTTTGAGGGGTTGGGGAACTTCCCCTCAACCCAAGGGAAGCCGTTGAGGGACTGTGCCATGAGGAACAGTGTGCTCTGGCCCAGATACTATGTTTTTCCCATGATCTTCACAACCTGCAGATCAGGAGATTCCCTCTGGTGCCTATCCTACTAGGGCCCTGGGTTTCAAGCACAAAACTAGGCAGCCATTTGGGCAGACAGTGAGCTAGCTGCAGGAGTTTTTTTTTTTTTTTTTTTTTTTTTCCATACCCCAGTGGCACCTGGAATGCCAGCGAAACACAACCATTCACTCCCCTGGAAAGGGGGCTGAAGCCAGGGAGCCAAGTGGTCTAGCTCAGTGGATCCCACCCCCACGGAGGCCAGCAAGTTAAGATCCACTGGCTTGAAATTCTCACTGCCAGTACAGCAGACTGAAGTTGACTTGGGATGCTCAAAGTTAGTCAGTGGAAGGGGTCTGCCATTACTGAGGCTTGAGTAGGTGGTTTTCTCCTTAGCGTGTAAACAAAGCTGCTGGGAAGTTCAAACTGGGCAGAGCCCACCAAAGCTCAGCAAAGCCGCTACAGCCAGACTGCCTCTCTAGATTCCTTCTCTCTGGGCAGGGCATCTCTGAAAGAATGACAGCAACCCCAGTCAGGGGCTTATACATAAAACTCCCATTTTCCTGGGATAAGCACCTAGGGGAAGGGGTGGCTGTGGGCACAGCTTCAGCTGACTTAAATGTTTCTGCCTGCCAGCTCTGAAGAGAGCAGTGGATCTCCCAGCACAGTGCTTGAGCTCTGCTAAGAGACAGGCTGCTCCTCAAGTGGGTCCCTGACACCTATGCCTCCTGACTGGGAGACATCTCCTAGCAAAGGTAGAAAGACACCTCATACAGGAGAGCTCCGGTTGGCATCTAGTGGGTGCTCCTCTGGGACGAAGCTTCCAGAGGAAGGAGCGGGCAGCAATCTTTGCTGTTCTGCAGCCCCTGCTGGTGATACCCAGGGAAAGAGGATCTGGAGTGGACCTCCAGCAAACTCCAGCAGTCCTGCAGCAGAGGGACCTGTTAGACGAAACTAACAAAAACAGAAAGGAATAGTGTCAACATCAACAAAAAGGACGTCCACACAGAAACCTCATCTGAAGGTTACCAACATCAAAACCAAAGGTAGATAAATCCACAAAGATGAGGAAAAACCAGTGCTGAAAATTCCAAAAACCAGAATGCCTCTTCTCCTCCAAAGGATAACAACTCCTTGACAGCAAGGGAACAAAACTGGACGGAGAATGAGTTTTATGAACTGACAGAAGTAGGCTTCAGAAGGTGGGTAATAAACTGCTCCAAGCTAATGAAGCATGTTCTAACCCAATACAAGTAGGCTAAAAACCTTGAAAACAGGTTAGAGAAATTGCTAACTAGAATAACCAGTTTAGAGAAGAACATAAAACACAGCACAAGAACTTCATAAAGCATACACAAGTATCAATAGCTGAATTGGTCAAGCAGAAGAAAAGATGTCAGAGATTGAAGATCAACTTAATAAAATAAAGCGCGAAGACAAGATTAGAAAAAACAATGAATGAAAAAGCCTCCAAGAAATTATGGGACTATGTAAAAACACCAAACCTATGTTTGATTGGTGTAACTGAAATGATGGGGAGAATGGAACCAAGTTGGAAAACGCTCTTCAGGATATTATCCAGGAGAACTTCCCCAACCCAACAAGACAGGCCAACATTCAAATTCAGAAGATACAGAGAACACTACAAAGATATCCTGGAGAAGGGCAACCCCAAGACACATAATCATCAGATTCACCAAGGTTGAAATGAAGGAAAAAATGTTAAGGGCAGCCAGAGAGAAAAGGTCTGGTTACCCACAAATGGAATCCCATCAGACTAACAGCAGATCTCTCTGCAGAAACTCTACAAGCCAGAAGAGAGTGGGGGCCAATATTCAACATTCTTAAAGAAAAGCATTTTCATCCCAGAATTTCATATCCAGCCAAACCAAGCAACATAAGTGAAGGAGAAATAAAATCCTTTATACAAAAGCAAATGCTGAGAGATTTTGTCACCACTCGGCCTGCCTTACAAGAGCTCTGAAGGAAGCACTAAATATGTAAAGGAAAACCTGGTACCAGGCACTACAAAAATATGCCAAATTGTAAAGACCATTGACACTATGAAGAAACTGCATCAACTAACAGGCAAAATAACCAGCTAGCATCATAATGACAGGATTAAATTCACACATGACAATATTAACCTTAAATGTAAATGGACTAACTGCCCCAATTAAAAGATACAGACCGGCAGTTGGATAGAGAGTCAAGACACATCAGTGTGCTGTATTGAGGGGACCCATCTCATGTGTAGTGACACATAGGCTCAAAATAAAGGGATGGAAGAATATTTACCAAGCAAATGGAGAAGAACAAAAAAAAGCAGGGGTTGCAATCCTAGTCTCTGATAAAACAGACATTAAACCAATAAACATAAAGGACAAGGGCATTACATAATGGTAAAGGGATCAATGCAATAATAAGAGCTAACTATCCTAAATATATATGCACCCAATACAGGAGCACCCAGATTCATAAAGCAAGTTTGTAGAGACCTACTAAGAGACTCGGACTCCCACACAATAATAGTGGGAGATGTTAACATCCCACTGTCAATATTAGCCAGATCAATGAGACAGAAAATTAACAAGGATATTCAGGACTTGAAATAGCTCTGGACCAAGTGGCCTAACAGACATCTGCAGAACTCTCCACCCCAAATCAACAAAATATACATTCTTCCCAGCACCACATCACAAACTTGACCACATAATTGGAAGAAAAGCACTTCTCAGCAAATGCAAAAAAACAGAAATTATAACAGTCTCTCAGACCACAGTGCAATCAAATTAGAACTCAGGATTAAGAAACTCACTTCAAACTGCACAACTACATGGAAACTGAACAACCTGCTCCTGAATGACTACTGAGTAAATAACGAAATTAAGACAGAAATAAATGTTATTTGAAACCATTGAGAACGTACAAGAATCTCTGGGACACAGCCAAAGCAGTGTTTGGAGGGAAACTGATGGCACTAAATGCTCGCAAAAGAAAGCAGGAAAGATCTAAAATCGACACCCTATCATCACATTCAAAAAATTAAAAAAAAGAACTATACACAATTTAAAAAAAAAAACAACACCCTATAGAAGCAAGAGCAAACAAATTCAAAATCTAGCGGAAGACAAGCAATAACTAACATCGGAGCAGACCTTCCAGAAAGGTAGGGACAACTAAAAGCAGAAGGGGGCCTCCAGATCACAGGTAGGTGAGAGACAAATGGTTGCATATGAGTTTATGATAAGACTTTCCAAAGGAAGCAATCAGAATCTGCATCTATCTCAGCGAGCAGAGGGAGGACGAACTAGAATGGGAGGCAGGTTTTGTCCTGAGCAGTCTCCCTTGACTTTTCCCTTTAGCTTAGTAATTTTGGGAACTCAAGATTTTCCTTTCACAGGCTTTAAATTTTATACCCAAGATTTTCCTTTCACAGGCTTTAAATTTTATTGCTCGTTAGTTACTGCGTGCTAGCATACAAATAGTAGAAAACCAAGCGGGCATCCACCTTTCGGTTGTCTTCACGTGCAAAACAATAATTAGTTAGGTGTCTTCACAACTGGCAGCACAACGGTAAGAAACCAATACTAAAAAAGCGCGTAGAAAATCGTCACCTCACAGCCTGGGAAACACAGGGAGACCCCACTTCTACAAAAAATAATTTGCGGAGCATGGAGGTGCGCCCCTGCGGTCCCAGCTACTTTAGAGGCTGATAGGAGAATCGCCTGAGTTCGGGCAGCAGGAGTTCGTTTGTAGTGACCTATGATCCCGCCGCTGCACTACAGTATGGGCAACAGAGTGAGACCCTGTCTCGAAAAACAAAACAGAAAAACCCCCTACCCCACCAAGAAGGCGCTTTTGCACATTGTTTTAATATTTAACGCCTTTAGGATGCCAGCATAGCGGAAGCAGACACGCAACAACGGATCAACCCTAGGGCTAAACTTCTCACTTCCGGAGGGCTGCAGGCGCAACAAATATACGTCAGGCGTGGAGGCGGGGCTTCCTCTCTGCGCGTCGTATTAGACGGAAACGAGTTTCTCGTGGGTTTGCGGACGCAGCCACGTGAGTCCAGTGAAGGCGAGTGGTGTCGCAGGGACGTCTTCTGGCTGTTTGCGTGGCCTGCGTGGCCCTCTCACCCAGGCCTTCCATTAGAAGCGCAGACGTTTGGGACTAAACGCTAGGCGAGGCAACGCCCTGGCCCTCCCCGCCGGCGGCCATTCTCTGGTCCTGTCTTTCTTCCGGGAGGCGGTGTCAGCCGCTGGAAGTGTTCCAGCCCCAGTCTCTCCCCTTTTTTGCGGTCCCGTTGGTGCCGTCCTCCCAAAAACCGTGCCTTCTGTATTAGTTGCCATCTTTCCTGTGAAGGAGCAGGGAGGGCTTCCTCCCGGGCGGCGGTGCAGCCGGTTGTGGAAGAATTAGAGGAGAAGTTGTCGGGGTCCGCTCTGAGGACTCAGCCGCATCATGGGGGTCCAGGGGCTCTGGAAGCTGCTGGAGTGCTCCGGGCGGCAGGTCAGCCCCGAGTCGCTGGAAGGGAAGATCCTGGCAATTGGTATCCTTAACGCCGCGTTGGGACTTGGGGTGCAGGGATTCAGGGCTGGATTCCTTGCTGGGTTCTGCCTTGGGCGCAGAATGGCATCTGCAAGATGATGGTCTTGGGTCAGGGTCGGGGTCTCTATAGAATCTCTGTCAGTAGGCTTTCTAAATACAGTGGTACCTCGGTATCCGCGGGGCTTTGGTTCCAGGAGGCCCCCCGCCCCATACCTGGATGTTCAAGTTCCTTCAAGTCCCTTATATAATGGCGTGGTATTCGCATATAAATTACGCACACCCTCCCATAATCTTTTAAATCGTTTCTGGGTTACTTGTAATACCGAATGCAATGTAAGTGATCTGTAAATAGTTGTTTACAACTATTTAACTGTATTTTAAAAATTTTTGTAGTTTTTATTGGTATGTTTTATTTTTTCCCACCGCAAGTATTTTTGATCCGTGGTAGCTTGAGTGTGAAATCGGGCGATGAGGAGGGCTGCCTGTCTGCTTTCTCCAGCTTTGCACTCTTAAGTGCCTCTGTGCATCCTGGTTTGTCACTTTGGGGCAGTGCTTTATGTTCCTTTCCGCTTTCGTTCTCTCATCTGCAAAGTGGAGGTGGTGTTAGTATCTACACACAGGATTGGAATGAGGAATAAAGAAATAACCAAAATGAGAGAAGTTTAGTAGAATAAAGACGTTAAATCTTAAAGCTATCCCATTTGGGAGGTCAGTATGGAGAGAACAGGGTAGACTTCCACCACTGGTTTTGCTTGAGCCTTGCCCCATTTGTGTTTCTTAGAGGAAGGGTAGTGTGGACAGGTGTTTTACCATTTTTTTTAATTGACTTTTTAAGGACTTGTTTTTGTACATATTTGGCTGGTTTTCTTTGTCATTGGAATTATTTTTTTTTCATTAACAAAGCGTGATACTGTTTTTGAAATTTTGATCTTTTTTTTTTGTTACTTATTTAGTTTTTTTTTGAGTGTCTATTCTGTCTCAGAATCTGGTGGTACCTTACACCAATTTCGTAAATGGGGATCTATGAGTGTAGGGGCACATGGGCTTGTGGAAAGAGCCCTGTAAATGATTGCGTGGGGATTGGGGATGAGAAGTGGAGTGCAAAAGTGTGTGGGCCTTCAGCATAGGAGTCCCTGACTGTGGAGCCCTAATTCTTCAGTAGGTACACAACTTATAAATAAAACAACATTGATACATTTTAAAATATAATGAGATTTTTTATCATTTTTTGCAAGTGAATAATCTTCTAATACATCTGTAATTGAATTTTGGCTTAACAGTTTTTATACAGAGTATTTTGAATTGGGGAAAACCAAAGGTGGTGTTTTGTTTTGTTTTGTTTTAAAGCACATACACTGTTACTGCCCTCAAGCGGTTCTTCAGTATCATTGCAGTCTAAAGATTTTCTCAGAAATAAAGGGTAAAGGCTAGTTTTCAGCGACAAGAACCCTTAAAACTTCAGGAAAGATTTATATCACTCTATGTAGCAGCCCTTGTGAAGAATTACTAAAGATGACTGTGGCCAGGCTCAGTGGCTCACGCTTGTCATCCCAGCCCTTTGGGAGGTCATGGCAGGAGGATCATTTGAACCCAGGGATTCAAGACCAGCCTTGGCAACATAGTGAAACCCCTGTCTCTACACAGAGTCAAAAAATTAGTTGGACGTGGTGCCCTGCACCTGTGGTCCCAGCTACACAGAAGGCTGAGGCAGGAAGATTGCTTGGGCCCAGGAGATCAAGGCTGCAATGAGCTGTGTTCATGCCTGTCTCTAAATAAATAAAGACTGTCAAAGATATTCTAGTCATAATGACAACCTCATATATACATAATAACCTTGTTTATGTTAAATAAGAATATCTGATTACCTGTTTTGCGACTGATTTTGCTTTATTTCATTTTCACAGAAATTCAGACACCTGAAATTATTTAGAGTTTATTGTATTGTTTGTTAATGACGAACTTACCCATGATTATACTAGGTTCATAATTTACTCTTGTATGCCTATAATAAATTGTTTGGTCATTTAACCATCTATATAGCTTAGTGTCTTGTTTATTTATACAGTCTGAATGTCTGTGTCAAATAATGCAGAATTAACAGTTAAACTTTGGCCTGTTACAGACTTAATGTTTGTAAGATGCATTTAAGTGTATTAGCAAGATACTGCAGTCTCTTTAGGCTATATATACTAATGGAGATTAATTACATTTTAAGTCACCTAACTAAGGAACTAAACAAACTTATTTTTTTGTATTGAAATGTTATTGGTCTTTGGGTCTTATACCTAAAGTGATTTTTGGCTTTGCTGCAGATTTTAATTTTTCTGTCCTCAGCAGAAATTTAATTTTGCTTATATAAACTTACTGAAATTACACAAGTCAAATTATACAAATATTTTCAGAATGTCTAGTTTTACATATTTCTCGTCTAACAATTTACATGAGTATTTTCAGGTCATCTAATTTTACATATTTCATCTCTAAGAATTTCAAGCCAAAATTCTCAACCCTAGCTGAGAATTGGCACTACCTGTAGTAAATTAAAAAATAAATAAAAAAAAAGAAGACCTACCTCAGCCTATACGATTTAGAATTTTAGGCCTATGGTTAATAATCCATATGTTTCAGAAGCTTCATATTCATTCTAATGGATAGAAGGGATGAGAGCCACTGATCTTAAACTAGATTTTCTCACTTAATTTAAAGTTTAAAGTAGCGGGCCAAGTAGAAACTGGTTGAATCCTATACAATAGCGAGCTCCATGGCTTTTCCAGACAATACTCGCAGCAAGCAGAAACGTTGATCTAATATAAGATAGATGTGCATAACACCAAGTTCTGCCTCTGAGATATATCTTTTATCTGACCTCTTTTCATGGTCTCCACTGCTACTGTCTGCTTTTACTTGGGCTATTGTAACTCATTTTAGAACTGGTTTCCTTATAATTTATTGTTCACATATTCATCAGAGTGATCCTTAAATCACATTCTAGAAACTTCTTGGTGGCTGTATCACCTCCTGCCATTCCTTTTGTCCTGCTGCACAGGCTTCTTGGAGATATGGACCATATCTGTTTTGTTCATGGCTGTGGTGTTTGATGCATATCTCTAGGGTCTTGGATATGCCTGGCCCATGATATTGCTAAATATTATAGAAATAAGTATAGCATTAGCTTGCTTTCCACTAGGTATTTTGTTACATATGTTTCTTAAGTTAATTGTTGATGGGCCTACTTTTTTTTTATTGTGATAAAAGATAGGCAGTGTACATTTATTTAAATACCAAACTGTTCCACTTATTAGCAGGCATTTATTGTGTGTAAGAGTCCTGTGAAAGGGAGTACAGTGCACAGATTGCCGGGACAAGCCATGGAGCACACAGGCTTGTTTTTTCCCTGCTAGATTATAAACTCCACAGGGTAAATACTTTGTTTTGTTGAGTACACTGGATATGCCAATCCATAGAAAAATTTCTGCCACATAATAAGCCATATATATATATATAAGCTATACATATCTTTATATAAGATAAAAACCATGTATCTTATATATATAAATTGATATATAGGTATGTGTATATATAGGTGTATATATATAGGTGTGTGTATATATATATATCTTATATATAAAAGCTATATATAGATATATAAGCTATATATATAAAAGCTATATAATTAAAAGCCACACACACACACATTTATATATATATATATTTTTTTTTTGAAATGGAGTCTCACTCTTGCCCAGGCTGAAGTGCGTGATCTCGGCTCATTGCAAACTTCGCCTCCTGGGTCAAGCGATTCTCCTGCCTTAGCCTCTTGAGTAGCTGGGACTACAGATGCATGCCACCATGCCCAGCTAATTTTTGTATTTTTAGTAGAGACGGGATTTCACCATATTGGGTGGGATGGTCTCGATCTCCTGACCTCATGATCCACCTGCCTTGGCCTCCCAAAGTGCTGGGATTACAGGTGTGAGCCACTGCATCCATTCTCAGTATATTTTAAAAATAGGAACATATACAAGAAGGAGGTCTTCATCTAGACTGAGGAAGTGACCCATAGACTGAGACCTTAGAGTAGCAGATAACTAGGCCAAGAGAGGGAAAAACTGTTTCAGGCAGAGGAGGCAGCATGTGAGAAGAACCTGGAGGCAGGAAGGAGCTTAGTGATTTCTGGGGTTTGAGAAAAGCCCAGTGGCTGGAAATGAGCAGAGGCCAGACCGTTCAGAGCTTCATAGACCAGGAGAGGTAGTTTTAGATAGTATCTTGAAGGCAATGGGAAGCTTTGGAGGGTTCACCAAGGATACATTGGTGAAATCTAGTATATACCTTCAAGATATATTAGAAGGTAGAATTGATAGACCTGGTAATAGTTGATGGGGGGGTGTATAGGGGGTAATGCCCAGCATTCTGGCTTGGGTGAATGCCAGTGACATTCACTGAGAAGGGGGCATGAGCAGCTTAGGGGAGAAGACATGGAGTTCTTGTTTTGATCATGTTAAGTTGGAAATGTCTGAGGCATGGGGTAGAGATGTCCTCTGGACTCTCCATTCTGGGGTCAGGAGAGTGCTCTGGGCCAGAGGTATACATGTAGCCAGGGCGTGGTGTGTGTGGAGGGGAGTGGAGGTTGATAGTTCAGACAGGAGGAAAGAAGAGGGCTCGAGAGAGAGCACTGACGAGGTGGATACTTTATCTGTGTCTTAGAAGCTGGCGAAGAGTCTTTGAGCAGGAAAACCAGCAGAGTGTGCGTTACTCTTCTGGACAAATACAAAATTTTTTGAGAAGCACTTTTTAGAAAAGTTGAAAAATATGAGAAAACTTCAAGATGAAAATATAAATTATCTTTAATCTTACAGGCATAATATCTACTCTGATGTGTGAACTTCCAGTTTTTTTTTTTTTAACATATATACTGTATCAGAAAATGGAGTTATACTTTATATGCTTTTATTATCTGTTTTACTATCTTTAATAATGTTTAACGACTGTCTTCCTTACTGTACATGTTCCTGCAGCTTCCATTTGTAAGGGCCTTTTGGTATTCTAGCAAATATGTCTGCCATAATTAGTTTTTAGGAAAGACCTGCTGTAAAACTTTTAAGTTGATTTTTATACTTTCATTATTATAAACAAGCATTCTATAAACAACTTTTATTATATATCCATGATGATTTTCTGAGGATCAATATCTGGAAGTGGTAAAATAGACTGCAAGTTTTAAAGTTTTTTTTCACTGTGAATTGTCACATTGTTCTAGAAAGTTTGTGCTAATTTATGGAAATTCTTTAGTGATTGCTTTTTTTTAAAATGAAGCAATTCTTTGCAATGAGACCTTTTAAAAGGATGTGTCTGTCTGATTTTAAAATGTAGTATGTGAATAGGGGTAACAAGAGCTCAACTAAAGTTAACTGACTTTAGGTAGATTCCATGAGAGCTAAGTGTTTTTCGATTTTAAATGAATAGTGATAAGTAGCTAGTGTTCAACGTTTGGATAATATCAGCTATTGGGAAATTAAAGTTTTGAGGATGAAGAGAAAAATTCCAGAGTTTTTTCCATTAACAATTCTCCCAGATATTAGCATTTGGTTAAACCAAGCACTTAAGGGAGTCCGGGATCGCCATGGGAACTCAATAGAAAATGCTCATCTTCTCACTTTGTTCCATCGGCTCTGCAAACTCTTATTTTTTCGAATTCGCCCTATTTTCGTGTTTGATGGGGACGCTCCTCTATTGAAGAAACAGACTTTGGTAAGTGTCACCTAGTTTTTGGTAAGTGTCAAATAAGTTTTTTTCTTTTTGTATTCTTAGAAAAGTTCACATAAAATTTTTGTTTTCTGTTTAGAATTTTAGAAACAGACTTATTTTGACACATATTCAGTTTACTTACATCTACTTTTTTTATCCTGAACAATTAATTTTTCTTTTAAAAATTTTTATGAGAGTTCATCATGGGTACGATGATAAAATTTAAATAGAACTAACTTCCAAAACCCTTGCAGTTGAGACTTTCCCTTTAGAGGATCTTGTTAGGTATTCTATATTTATTTCAAGGATGCCGCCATCACTCTGAACACTGCGGAAACCCTCTGGGAAGTGCCTCCCTGAATCTGAGATCAGGTATCCTCCATGATAGCAAGTCTTCTTTTAAGGGGAATTGGATTTTAGGAGGAAGTGATGCTATGTGGTGCCAAGTGATGACTGAAATGGATTATCTAGGAAGGAAATTGAGTATGATGTAGAAGAATGAGAATGAGTTGCTGCTTTATTGTTCTGGAAGTAGTTTTTAAAAATGTTTTTGGAAGGCTGGGGCAGGAGGATTGCTTGAGCCCAAGTCTATACTTGGCAACATAAGGAGACCCCATCTCTAAAAAAGTGTCATAAAATAATGTTTAAACAGTCCAAATGACAGCACCCATTTGGATATATGACTTTTATATGTTGAAAATTCCAAAGTAATGAAATGATGACTTTTGTCATCATACCAGACAGAGACTGTCTAATTAAGTGAGGATATGGGATAAAAGTAAAGCTTTGTAAATTCTGGGGGGGCATTTGTTGCCTCAGTAAGAGTTTCTAGACTTGAATATTGCAGTTTTCAGTTACCCAAGATATACCTGATATATTATATAAAAGCCATATATCAGGTACTTTGTGGGAGGATTAGAAAGGAAAAGAGAATATCTCAACTATTTTGTATCTGATATCAAGCCATAAGCACAGGACTATCCATTTGTCCCTTCTTCAACATTTCTTACAAGATATTTCTATACCTTTTAGAATTTCTCATGATACATAATCTTGAACGTTGAAGGGCAGATTTACGTATAAGTAATGCATGTTTATAAAAAGCAATATTAGAAATGTTTTTGGTATAACAGTGACATTTTAAAGAATAAATAAAGCTTTCTTTTGGGGAAGCATTTACTTGATTATATATCATTAAGATTTGCATTTCTTGGGCATATTAAAGGACATTTAAAAGAAACTAATAGTTCCCCAGATATATTGTATAGTAGCCCATTAAGTAATAGACGGAAACTCTAGGTGTCCTTTATGTAGCAGCCTCCTAAAGGTGTTTGTTGATATGGCAATTAGGAGGAAATGCTAAAGCAGCTGTAGTCTACAAACTCAGACAAACCAAATTCTATGGGAAATCACAGCAGTGTTTCTAATGGTCTAATATCCCCAAGTGAGATCTTACATCCTTTCTTCCCATAGGCAAAGAGAAGGCAGAGAAAGGACTCAGCGTCCAGTGACTCCAGGAAAACGACAGAGAAGCTTCTGAAAACATTTTTGAAAAGACAAGCCATCAAAACTGCCTTCAAAAGCAAAAGGCAAGAGGAAAATTATAGTCATGTTAGAAATGAAGTTTTAGAACAGTGATTTTTGTCTTGAATTCCTGCGGTTCTCTTCTATCTAATTTTAACTCAACAGAAAATAGAGAGTGAAATGAGACCAGTAGGCTGGGATTTGACCTGGTATGTAATGTGAAGGTGTGGCAATTCTCCACTTTGTGAGAGTCAGCTTTGCTCATGAGAAAGAAAAGCTGACATGGTGCATTGTGTACACTTTTTACTTTCATTCTGCTCTTATTCTTGACTCTAGGTGAGCAGCCCCTCCACGTTTCCTTCCTTTCTCTTGGCTATACTTATTTTCCACAGCAGTGGCCGGAGGGGAGCCAGTTCAGGTCCCCGTTCATCTCCCTGAGCAGGGTCTGCGTAATCAGTGGGGAAGTATTCTCAACTCAGAATTCTGTTTCATATTACCTGTTTAAAGATTTGTGTACTTTGCAGAAATGAAGCACTACCAAGTCTTACGCAAGTTCGAAGAGAAAACGACATCTATGTTTTGCCTCCTTTACAAGAGGAAGAAAAACATAGGTAAATGTTGAACTATTTAAGAATATTATTTTAGTCATTGCTACACGATGTGTTATCTACATAATAAGGCATGTGAAAATTTTTTAATGCATCTGAAATAGGCATGCTCTATACCTTTTAGAATATTTTTCAAAGACTAAATTTTTTATTTACTGTTCTTTGTGTTTGGTGATTCATGATCCTTATTCCTTTTCATTCTGAAGAACTTCTGCCAGGACTGTGGATTTAAAATTCTCCAAGGCATGAATTTTAGTTTTGCTTGCACTTTACTTACACATGCTGTTTCTAGCTGCTTCTCAATCCAGTATGATCTCTCTCACCATGATGCTAAAATACCACAACCCATGACATCCTTGTTGCTAAATCTAGCAAATACTTTGCACTTCTCTGTGTGCTTGACTTCTCTGCCCCAAACACCATGCCACACTGCTCTGTTCCCCTGGCATCTCTCTGGCGTTTCTGCTCAGCCTCTTTGTGGACTCCACTTTCTCTGTCTATCTCTTAACTGTTGGCAGTTTCTGTGTTTGAAATGAAGTTGGAGAACCAGAAGGCTTGACAGTTTGCCTTTGTCCTCTGTCCTTCCCTCCACTTCTTCCTTTCCCAGGAGTTCCCAAGAAACAACTTAGCTTTTGAATCAGCTCAGTTCTGTTTGTCTCCATTGCTACCACCTTCATTTTTACTCCAGTTTACATTATTAGCTTTTAAACTTCTGTCTTTGTCTTTGATCTTATCCTTTTTGTAATAACTCCTCCCATCAAGCCCAATCTCTGTTTTGTGTTATAGTCTGTTTAAAATCCAAATCTAATATTGTCATTTCCTTACTTAAAACACTTTCTAGCTTCTCATTTCTTTTTTTCTTTTTTCTTTTCTTTCTTTCTTTTCTTTTCTTTTCTTTTCTTTTCTTTTCTTTTCTTTCTTTTCTTTTCTTTTCTTTTCTTTTCTTTCTTCTTTCTTTTTCTTTTTCTTTTTTTTTTTTTTTTTTTTAATGAGACGGAGTCTCTGTTGCCCAGGCTGGAGTGCAATGGTACAATCTCAGCTCACTGCAACTTCTGCCTCCTGGGTTCAAGCGATTCTCTTGCTTCAGCCTCTGGAGTAGCTGGGATTATAGGCGCCCGCCACCACACCTGGCTAATTTTTGTATTTTTAGTAGAGATAAGGTTTCGCCATGTTGTCTAGGCTGGTTTTGAACTCCTGACCTCAAGTGATCTGCCTGCCTCAGCCTCCCAAAGTGCTGGGATTACAGGTGTGAGCCACCCACATTCAGTGTAGCGTCTCCATGTCTTTAGAATAAAACTTTAACTCCTTAATTATACTTTCCAGTCTCATCCCTTCCTTTCTTCACGTCATCCATAGGCAAGCTTTCTTTTCCTTGTCTCCAGATGGTTATAAAGCTTAGTTCTTTTGCCTGGAACACTTCTCCATGAACCTTCCCACTCCCTCCAGCTAGACTCCTCATTTATTTGTGGCTAACTCCAGCCAGTGTAATTGCAGGAGATCCTGGAAAGCTTTTGTGACTCCTCTAAATTGGGGTGAGCTGACTCCCTATTGCACCGCTAGCAACCCACACTTCCCTTGTGGTGGAATTTATCAGATCACACTGTAAGTGCTTGCTTACACGGGCCCCCAACAGACCGCAAGACCAGTGGTGGCACAGATCTTGCTGTTTTATTCATCGTGGTAGCTCCTATAACAAGCAGCACCTTAAATACATTATTTTTGCAAGTAGTCATTAAAAATCATAGATACATAAATATATGTTTGACTTTCAGTTCAGAAGAGGAAGATGAAAAAGAATGGCAAGAAAGAATGAATCAAAAACAAGCATTACAGGTATTTAGATCATTTTTGGATTCAGCACGTATTGTTATTTGAAATAAATGATGTGAAAATGAACAATATTAATGAGGTATATGAAACTATGGAAGTTCCTGATAAAAAGTAAAGACAGAGGCCTTTTTGATTGTGTGTGCATATATATGTGTACATGTATCTATACAAATACACACGAATACACAGACACGCACCCACACACATATGTATATGGAATTTGCCATTACACACATCTAAATATTCAAAATAAGCTATTTTTCTTTTACAACCAACCAGCCAACCAGTCAAAAGTAATATGTGCTTACATAAAAAAATACAGAAAACATCATTCATAAATAACTTTTAGTAACATTTTGATGTATTTTTGTCCATTCTTCCCCTGCCTGTGTTTGTATTTGGATATGTGTATATGTATCGAATGTACATGTGTTGGTGTTTTGGGGTTCAGGGGAGCGCTCAGCTCGCTCCCCAGTAGGCTCGAGGTTCTTGGTCCTTTGCTGTCTCAAGATTGAGAGAGGGGACCACGGCAGGTACCCTCGTAAAATGAATACTGGACCCCTTTTTCTCTTTCTCTGCCTAAATAAACTTTACCAGGTTCCCTTGTAAAGTGTTTGCAGGAGATGATTTATTTAGGCAGAGAAAGAGAAAAAGGAGAGGAAGAGAGAAATCTTCCATGAGAGAGAGTGTGTGGAAGGGGACCCCAGAGGGGAAATCCGCCTGGATGAGGGAGACAGGGACTTTTAACCTGGGAGAAATTTCTACCTTCTCTAAGTTCCCTTGCCAGTGAAAGGAGTTCCTTTGAACTTCCCCTGGAGTCATTAACTTTTGAACCTTTCCCGCACTGCAAAAATTAAAACAGAAACCATTAAGTCTCCTAGATGGAGAGGCACGGGAAGGGGGCATGGTGCTGGGAAGTTCTTGCCCTTAAAACTACGCCCCCTTGTGGACCCAGAAAGAGAACACATTCCCTCTCGTGCATACATGTATACGTGTATACATGTGTGTATGTTCCAGTTATCTGTTGCTGTGTAATTTAGTGGTATAAAACATCATTTGTTATCTTCTAGGGTTCCGGGGGTTGATGAGCTCAGCCAGGCAGTTCTCTCTGGAGTCTCTTGTGTAGATGCAGCCAGTCTGTAAGTAGGGCTGGAGTGGCTTCCAATGATTCCTTGCTGCCATGGGCGGTGGTTGACGCTGGCTGTCTGCCAGACTTCCATGCGGTGGGCGCCAGAGCACCTGCTTGTGGCCTCTCCACACGGCCTGGTCTTTTTCCCAGCATGGTGGCTGTGTTCCGAGGGTGAACATCCCAAGAGAAAGTTCTACGCGGAAGCCCTGTGGCCTTTTTCACCTAGCTTTGGAAGTTGTGCAGCCTCCTTCCCACCACATCCTGTTCCTCAAGCTAGTTACTAAGGCCAGCTCCTATATGAGGGGCAGAGAGTTAGACAAGAAGAATGTCCTACACATATTTTCATGAGTAACATTTTTACAGATTGAAGCTATGCTGTATATATATATTTTTCATAAACAGCTTTTTAAGTTTCTTAGTGTCGCAGATAACATTTTTTGATCTCCAAATTCACTGTTTCTTGTTTGTTCATATTGTTTTTGCTATATCAGGTAGAAGATTTTCGAGCTAAAATCTCAAGATCCTTCAGGTTGCGGAAGTCCTGTGTTATTAATGCAGTTAGTGAGAGCAATCTCAGTTAAGACCTTGGGTCTCGTGGTCAGAAAGACCTGCGTTTCAATCCAGGCTCCACTGTTCACTAGCTGTGTGATCAGACAGATTAAATTCTCCAAGCCTTTATTTATTTATTTTTTGTAAAACAAAGTTGCTGTCAATGCTGTCCTGATAGGGGCGATGGGAGCTTCAGTGAGAGAAAGCACAGGCAACACTGCATGCAGAGACAGATCTGTCCTGTGTGCTGTTGGTTGGTACATGCCCATGTAACATACACACGCAGGACAGCAGGTTGTATTAGCTTATCTTTTTTACTAATGAAGTATTTTAAAGTACTTTTGGTAATGAGTTAAAATTGAGAAAACCTTTCTACTTTTCCATGTCTTTTGTGAATTTCTCACTTGTAATTTTATTTTTTATTTTATGTTAAGAGCAAAATAAAGCTAAATTAAGGGGATTATATATATTGCTTGAATTCCTAAGCCTCATTCTGTCTTGGGTCCTTGCATTTCCTGTTCTCCCAGCCTGGAATGTTCTGTCCTCAACCAGGCTCTTTCATAGCTTTCAAGTCCCTGCTCACACACCCTCTTTTTAATGTCTTCTTTATCTGTGAAACAAATCTCTTTTTCCTCTATCTGTTCACCTAATCACACTCATATCAGATAAATCTGCTTTATTTTCTTACCATTATCGTGTTCATTTATTTATATATGTATTGTCTGCTCTCCTCTACCCTAAGAGCAGGGACCTTATCTGGCATCTTATCCAATCTCACAGTACCTTGGCACCTAGAACAGTGCCTGGTGCCTTAGAGGTACCTGCTAAGTATTTTTTCTTTTGAATGGATGAAAGAGTGAATGGTTACATTCCCTAATTTGTCTGCTCACTTTGTTACCTGTCACAGATTATATGCAACTGTGTTTAGCCAATTGTGGATTATGTAGAGCTGTGTTTATTATATACACACAGTAAATACCCCTAATGGTGAATAGAACTAAGTGTACAAAATGTAAATTTCATGGTGCTGTGTTTTACTTTTTACAGGAAGAGTTCTTTCATAATCCTCAAGCGATAGATATTGAGTCTGAGGACTTTAGCAGCCTGCCCCCCGAAGTAAAGCATGAAATCTTGACTGATATGAAAGAGTTCACCAAGCGAAGAAGAACATTATTTGAAGCAATGCCAGAGGTGAAATACACAACAGTACATTTATGCTTAGAATTAAGAACTTGAACAGACCTTTTTATTAGAAAGACAAAATTGATAAGCAGTACTTACATGATATCTCAGTTAACTGTAAACTGTATTTCTGTATCTCAGAGAGTCTATGAAGCATTGTATATTTATAAGCTTGATTGTACAGACATTTGCTCTAAGAAGTCTTTCTTGACTTTTGACTCAAGACTAGGTTTTTTTCTCCTGGTCTTTGTTCTCACAGTGTAATATCAGTTTATAGTTCTTAGCTCCAAAACATGCTAATCTTGCTCACCTCTGTATTTTCAGCACCTAGCTTGGTATTTTTCACATGACTTTAGATGCTTCCTGACTCAATTCTTAGGTTAGTTCATTAAAGTTATGGTAGCCTGTAATATACATTATCTATAAAAACTAGTGGTAATAGGGAGTCTAACCACAATGGAAAAATATGTCCTAAATTGAAATTCAAAGTGTATCTTCCTCTGTGCAGCCCTAGAAATGCCACTGGGTCTCCACATTTTCCTGCATTCTTTCTGGACAGTGGAAATAGAGTGTCTTCACCTTGGAACATCTCGTGGTTTTGCAGGCCGAGAGAGCTAGAGTGGAGGTGGTGTGTGCGGTTACGTCTGCTGATCATGCTACCATTGATACTTAATTCATGTTACTATCGATGACTCCCTGTCTTAGTTGCCAGTGAGTGAGTTCTTTTTCTCTTGGTATCGCTACTACCTGTCATTTTTACCATAGTTCTCCTTTCACCCATTGTAGGACAGAATAGAAATTTTGCAGCATCATTGACCTTAGTGAGTAGATGGGAGTGTTTCTTATTTTCTACACTTTTTGAATATTGCTTAAATTGATACCAGACATATGGAAAAGAAAGGATAAATTTCTCTTTTCATCACTCCCTCTGTTTTTTCCACAAAGAATGTGAAGTAGCACACACTAAGGTGCACAGAGGTGATGTTCTTGGGTCTTTGGATATACAAAGGACAGAAATAAATTGATTTTCATTTCAGGAGAAAAATGCAGCCTTGGTCTGTCAGGCATTTTATTTCTTGAGTGTGAAAGGATCTCTGTGTGGCAGTTGAGGAAATAGAATTTTGTTTGTGTCAACAGTAGTAGGAAGAAATGGGAGAGAGAGAGACAGTCCCTAATGATTTACTGTTCTTTATTTTCTTTCTGCAACCATGAAGTGTCTAGGAGTGGTGGACTGTGGGGTGGTGTAGAGTAACAGCTTGTTGGATTTGTAATTTTGTTAGAGATGTTCTGAGTCATCCATGTTGGGCCTTTGTATCATCTGTACGTTGTACAAATGTAATATTGATAACAGTAGTGATGTAGGTAATAATAGCAGTAGTAATAATCATAATACCCTAATTCCATCTTACTCAGCGTTTTGGTTTCTGCAGTTTTCAGTGACCCGTGGTAAACTGTGGTCTGAAAATGTTAAATGGAAAATTTCAGAAATAATTCATCAGTTTTAACTTGCATGCCATTCTGAGTAGCATGATGAAATCTCACACCCCCCTGCTCCATCTTGCCTGGAATGGGAATCCTCCTTTTGTCTAGCTTCTCCATACTGTAGATGCTTCCTGCCTGTTAATCACTTAGTCGCTGTCTCGGCCATCAGGTCGACTGTCGTGATACTGCGGTGCTTCTTCTCAAGTCACTCTTACTTGACTTAATAATGGCTCGACAGTGCAAGAGTGTGATGCTGGCAATTTGCATATGCCAAAGAGAAGCTGTAGAGTGCCTCCTTTAAGTGAAAAGGTGAAAGTTCTTGACTTAATAAGGAAAGAAAAAAAATCGTATGTTGGCTGAGGTTGCTAAGATCTTCAGTAAAAATGACTTTTCTATCTATGAAATAATGAAGAAGGAAAAAGAAGTTGGTGCTGGTTTTGCTGTCGCACCACAGACTGCCAAAGTCATGACCTCAGTGTGTGATAAGTGCTCAGTTAAGATGGAAAAGCCATTAAATTTTTGGGTGGGAGACATGAACAGAAACATGCTCTGATTGGTGACGATCGGGTTTGGAAATTTCTGCAGTTTCAGGCGTTCTCTGGGGGACTTGGAACATATCCCCAAGGTTGAGGGGGCTGTCTACTATATTAATAGAATCAATTATAGTAGATTGATAGGCTTTTGATCCCAGTTCTACCACTTATTAGCCCTGTGACTCTAGGGAGGTTACCTAACCTATTTAAGTCCCAATTTGTTCACTTATAAAATGGAGGTGGTATCTGTTTCATAGGATGATTGTGAGAATAAAATGAGATATTTTATGTAAAAGCACTTAGAAAAATGCCCTCAATGGGAAATGCCTTATAATGTTAAGTATTACTATTATTAACTGTGATTGCTGTGATTTATTGTGTCTTCTGTGGGATAAGATTGTGCTGGGCCCTTCACTTGCATATTTACCTGTATTCTAGAAGATGGCTTGTTAAGCCATAATTAAATGTCACAGTGACCACTATGCATTACATGTTCAATAAATGTTTATTAAATAAATTATTAAATCATAAACAGTATCCATGATTTTTTTTTTTGTCCAACTCTTTCGAAGATTTTTTTTTAAAGGAAGTTATAGTTTTTCTTGTTATTCAACTTTTATAATATAAAACTATCATCAATGAAAAAAGCCAATTGTTCTTTATTACCTGTTGGGGAAAGGGGTGGAAATATGGTAGTGTTATCTGTATTTAATATAAAACAATAATTTTGTTTGTTTAATTTGCCTTTAGGAGTCCAATGACTTTTCACAGTACCAACTCAAAGGCTTGCTTAAAAAAAACTATCTGAACCAGCACATAGAACATGTCCAAAAGGAAATGAATCAGCAACATTCAGGACACATCCGAAGGCAGTATGAAGATGAAGGGGGCTTTTTGAAGGAGGTAGAGTCAAGGAGAGTGGTCTCTGAAGACACTTCCCATTACATCTTGATAAAAGGTATCAGGTACCACCATTTACATATTTACACTATTTACATTAAAAATCAAAGATATATCTTGGCTCTGAATTCTATAAACTAGCAGCCCTTGATAATATTAATGAAATCCTATTTATATAATAACTGTATACAGCTATTAATAGATTAATTACTATAGAGCCAGACCACTTTAAAATTAACGAATGAATTAACTCCTAGTTGCTGATTATGTAAAGATGTATGTCCTTATTTATGAGAACCAGTGTTCTCTTATTCATCTTACTAGAAGTGTATTGTCACACTGTAAAACTGCATGGTGAGAAGTGTTTTAATTCTTCTTAAGGTATTCAAGCTAAGAAAGTTGCAGAAGTGGATTCAGAGTCTCTTCCTTCTTCCAGCAAAATGCACAGCATGTCTTTTGACATGAAGTCATCTCCATGTGAAAAACTGAAGACAGAGAAAGAGCCTGATGCTACCCCTCCTTCTCCAAGAACTTTACTAGCTATGCAAGCTGCCCTGCTGGGAAGTACCTCAGAAGAGGAGCTGGAGAGTGAAATTCGAAGGCAGTCCTGTGAAGGGAATGAACCTGCTACTGTAGACAAAGGCTCCATATCACCCCGGACTCTTTCAGCTATTCAGAGAGCTCTTGATGATGATGAAGACATAAAAGTGCATGCTGCAGATGAGGTGCAGACAGGAGGACCAGGAGCAGAACTGCGTATAAACTGCTCCACTGAGGACAGTGATGAAGGACTTAAAGTGAGAGATGGAAAAGGAATGCCCTTGACTGCAACACTCGCGTCATCTAGTGTGCACTCTGCAGAGGAGCATGTAGCCAGCACTAATGTGGAGAGAGAACCCACAGACTCAGTTCCAAAAGAACAAATGTCACCTATTCACGTGGACACTGCAGCCTTTCCAATAAGTGATGAGTCTATGGTTAAGGACAGCAAAGACTGGCTGCCTCTGAAGAGCACAGTGGTTACACATGGTGACACACTTGGGCTCCTAAATGGAAAGGAACTGACACTGGCACCTCCAGCTCTTACAAGTTCTGTGTCAAAGAATGAAACACATGCCAGCGTGCTTGAGCTACAGAAACAGCTTTGCCCATCTGAGAGTAAATATGGTTCCTCTGTTCTTTCAAGTGATGATGAAACAGAATGTGAACCACATCCTGCTTCTGAAGTCATTGGCCCTGTTGGTTTGCAAGAAACGAGTAGCATAGTAAGTGTCCCTTCAGAGATAGTAGGCAACTTAGAAAATGTGGTGTCATTTAATGCTAAAGAACGGGAGGATTTTCTGAAAACCATTGAAGAACAGCAGACCATTGAATCTGCAGGCCAGGATTTAATTTCCATTCCAAAGCCTGTGGAACCAGTGGAAATTGACTCAGAAGAAAGTGAATCTGATGGTATGTGTCTGTGCTTTTGTAGAAATTTGGAATGGTAGCATTTCACCTCTGTAGGAGCTGAGGGATCCTTTAGTGTAGTCCCGTTTTTACTTTTTACAGATAAGGAACAAGAGACTTGGAAAGAAAGGTGAAACGGCTTTCCCAGGGACATGCAGCTGGTAATGGAATCTTGACCTTCCCTGTGTTGCTCTGCTTTTTGTTATTATTTTTAAAGGATGGAGTGCCCTAGTTGGGGATGGTAAAGTTGAGTTTCCCTCTAGTTTTTAAAAAGTTTTTATTTTGAAATAATTATTGACTTTAAAAAGTTGGAACAATATTATAAAACTCTGTTTCCTTCACCCAGTACCACATTAGCATGTTACCACATTAGCTTATCATTTCTCTTGGCCCCCTGTGGGCCCTCTATATGTGTATCATATGTCTCCAAATCTGTATACACATATATACTGTTAATCCTCATTATTTGTAGATTCCATATTTGCAAAATTGCCTGATCACTAAAATGTATTTGTAACTCGAAAATCAGTACCCACTGCAGTGTCTTTGTGGTCATCTGCGGATTTGGGGAGAAGCTTGAGTTGCCACGCTCTGTCCCACTGAGGTTGAGAAGGTGACACTCTGCCTTGTTCCCATGCTCTCAGAGAGATGACCAGAAGCCCTGGGCCAGTTGGACTAGATTTGAATTCCTATTTTGGCACCTGTTAGTGTGGCAGCCTCAGGCAAGTCCCCAATTTGTTTCTTGAACTTTATTTCTTGTTTATACAATAAATGGAATCTACTAAGATGGCAGTTTTTAGGATTTAGGATAATATATATGAAATATGTTCATATATATGTTACATAAGGGTATGTGTAATATATGTATATATGTGCGTATGTGTATATATACTCATATACATCTATACATATATAACATACATCTATACATATATAACATGTATACACATATACACGTTATATATAACAATACATACACACATATGTTATATGTGTGTATGGGTCTATACACGTGTTATATATGTATATGTGTCTGTATACACCTATACATATATGTGTGTATATGTATATATATGTTTATATACACATATATATGTTTCGGAGCAGTGACTCAGTGTTGGTTAATTTAGTGTTCACAGAGACTTCATAGACAATGGCTACTTTGAATAATGAGAATCAAACCCCCCACTACACGCACACACGCAATTTGTTCCTGGTTTCTGCTAGTTTTCTTCATTCAAAAGTTACTATTTCCCTGTTATAATTTATAAGTATTTTGTGGGAAAGGAATTTTTGTAGCTATGTAAATATGCTGTTCCCAAACAAATTTCCACCCACTTGTTTTAGCAGCCATTGATTTTAACATGAATAATTTGTTACTATGTTGATTGCCAAATGATGGTTTTCTAACTCTGTCATTCCTTACATATTATTATTTGATATCCTTCTATGAGGAAGATCTTTTCTTTCTCCCCATTTATTATTGTTATCTTTAATCAGTGTAGACTACTGTATTCCTGTTTTATACAGTGAGTTATAATCCAATACTGTCATAATTCACTTTGTTGCTCAAATTGTCCCAGCTTTGTCCAGAGGGGGCTCCTTCTAATGGCTTGTAACAGTTTCCCATTATATTTTGAGCCTTTCCTTACTTTCTGGCCAAGCTGTTCCAAGCATATCTTGAAGTTACTCTGCCCTGGTCCTAGAACCAGCCATTTCACCAGGGAGCTCTGGTTCCTTTCAGTGGAGCATGGGGTTAGACACCACAAACTATGGATGTGGGTGTGCTCATGGATCCTGAGGTGTAACTGTCTCAGGCCTTTTCAGCAAGAGAGCCAGGAAGTATATTTATGTATACATATACATGCACACACTTATGCAAACATACCTCTATATTTTTGTCCATCTGTATTAAAATCCATGAGTTTATACTGATATCTGCAGTTCCAACCCAGTATCATGGGGTTCAGTCTAGCCTCCTGCTTTTTTATAGTTTCCCTAACAATGAGAAACATTGCTTCCCTTATCCTCAATATATTTACATCTGCTTATTCTCCCTCAGTTTGTAACCATCTCCCCCTCCCGCTGGCCTTCTCCTTGGCCCTGCTCTTCTTAGCTCCAGCTGCGTCCTTGGTGCCAGCTCCCAGACCCTGAGAGCCCCTTCCTCTGTTCCGATTGTCTCTTTAAACCCAGCTGGACGGGCCTTGCTAGCCCTCTCTACCTGCAGGGAGGGAAGGGAACCAATAAATGTATTTTAAGGAGAGGGAAGGACAGTAAGAGAGGCGAGGAGGGAAGTGGAAGAGGAAGAACTATTTCTGAGTCACAGCCTTATTCTGTGCTGTGTGAATAGCATAAAAACATATCAAGCAACTTCCATGATTGTATACTTTGATAATTCTCCTTTTTGAATTTTTAAAACAATGTCAGTTAACTTAGAACATGTTTATATAAAGCAAATATGCAAATCTTAAGAGAGTTTCCCACTTTCAAAGGCAGCGCCAGTTTACCTAATTCAAAAGGCTTGTTTTGAAGTTACAGACATTTGTGATCACATTTATTTAATAATAATGCTACTGTTACATGTTTTCTGAGTCAAATCTTTCCTTTTTAGGGTGGAACATTTTTCAGGATCCTCTAGAAAGCTCTTGATTATTGCAGGATAATTTTAATGTTTTGGTTGTAGATGAAGTGACCTTTATTTTGGTACAGGAAGTTTCGTTGAAGTGAAGAGTGTGATTAGTAATGAAGAACTTCAAGCAGAATTGCATGAAACTTCCACACCTCCCTCCGAACCAGGCAAACAGGAACTGATAGGAACTAGGGAGGAAGAAGCCCCTGCTGAGTCTGAGAGCCTCCCGAGGGACAACTCTGAGAGGGAGGATGAGGATGGTGAGCCACAGGAAGCTGAGAAAGATGCGGAAGAGTCACTCCATGAATGGCAAGATATCGATTTGGTAATACTGTAACATTGTGTTTTCACTTCTTGCTGAGGAAGCCAGGTTAAGTAGGTTTTGAGTTTTAAGGAGTTGCCGTATGACTATTTATTAGCTATTTGCAGTGTATCTTGTGGTTGCTGATGGCTTCGTTTTTGTGTAGATTACTGCCTGGGATAGACTCCATTTTCCATGTGGTTTTACAGAGTCTTGCTTAGAAATCCAGCAGAGTACTTCATAAGGAGAAAGAGTTTATTGGTAGTTTCAGTCAGACTGAATGCAGGCTTTTTGTAACAAATGAAGTCATTTGGATTATGAATATAAATCTATAAATGAAAAAACATTTTGTAGGAGGAGCTGGAAACTCTGGAGAGCAACCTCTTAGAACAACAGAATTCACTGAAAGCTCAAAAGCAGCAGCAAGAACGGATCGCTGCTACTGTCACCGGACAGATGTTCCTGGAAAGCCAGGTGGGTGCAGGCAGCTTGGGCCTCCTTTACCACCTTCCTCAGACCCCTGGGGGAATGCACTGCATGAAGTGGGTATACGCTTCTCCCCCTGGTACTCAGGGCCTGGTGATGCCTTTCCCTGGGGTCACTGTGTGTCCGTAACACTGCAGGAACGAATGCATTACATGAAGTGGTTGGCACTGCCTCACCTGGTGCTCAGGGCCTGGTGACGCCCTTCTTGGGGGTCACTGTGTATCCCTAACTCTGCAGGAACTCCTGCGCCTGTTCGGCATTCCCTACATCCAGGCCCCTATGGAAGCAGAGGCACAGTGTGCCATCCTGGACCTGACTGATCAGACTTCTGGAACCATCACTGATGACAGTGATATCTGGCTGTTTGGAGCACGGCATGTCTATAAAAACTTTTTTAATAAAAACAAGTTTGTAGAATATTACCAATATGTGGACTTTCACAATCAATTAGGTAAGACTTCAGCGTCTTTTTAGTTACTTTCTGACACTTACCTTCAGAATTTGTCCTAGGAATTTTTTCTTTCCAAGGAACTAGTTTGATGCATTGATGGAAATCACAGATGTTCATATAAGTGATCTTTGGCTTATATAGAGGAATAGGATTTTAAACAGTTGAATTAAGGAATTAAAGTCCTAGTATGTTTAGGTAGTTAATCATCTGACTTAGTTAAACTTTGACTAGTTACCCGAGATCTCCAGAGTGAGCCAGATGGTGGAGAGGGGATGTAGAGGGAGTCACCCCTGCGCCCGGGCCTGTATTAGGGTTTCTAGCATTGATGTTCTTCTGTTCATCCAGCAAATACATGTTTGGTGACTGCTATATGCTAGTTGTTCTTAACAAGGGGGAAAGAGCAGAGAGTAAAATAGTAGGAGAAACAGATGATAAGCAGATACGTAAGTCATAATTTGACATAAAGGAAAATATAGCAGTAAAGGAGAGAAGAGAGTGAGCTGCAGGCACCGGGAGTGCAGGTGCTGTTTCAGAGTTGTTGGGAAAGGCTTTACTCATGTAACTTCAGAGCGGGGGCCTGCAGGATATAGGAAGGCAGCACTGCAGATAGATACCTCGGGACTAGTGAGTGAAAGGGGCTGAGGCAGAAGCTTGTGCGGTGTGTTCTAGGGAAGCAGGGAGGCCAGTGTGAGAGGAGGTGGAAGGAAATGGCAAGGTTAATGTGAGAGAACAGGAAGACACCGAAATCCGCCAGGGTCTAGTGTGCTGGGGTGTGCAGGTGGATTGGATGTGGGGCGGAAGAAAAGTGAAGTTGAGGAGCCTTCCAGGTACTGAGCAGCTGGTCGGGTGGACCTGCCTTCAATAAGACAAGGAAGGAGCAGACTGGAGAAGGAGAAATGAAGCGTTCAGGTTTGAATGTGATAAATTGGAGATGCTCATTGGATACCCAGTGGAGGTGTTGTGATAGCTGAATATATGTGACTGTGGTTCAGAGTGACCCAGGTTAGAAAGGTCAAAAACAGCAGCAAGAACAGACTGCGGCTGCTGTCACCAGATAAATGTTCCTGGAAAGCCAGGTGGGTGCTTTCTAGCCTGGGTCTCTCTGAACCATGATGATTATTTATTATTAGCTAACTTTGGGGGTCAGCGTATAGAGGGTATTTTAAAGCTATGAGAATGGATGCAACTTTAAAAATGTTAACAATGCCATTTAATAAAAGAATTTCTTTTCAAATAATAAGATATTTTTGGTAGTCGGATATAGATGCATACACATATATGCTTTATATGATAAAATGTTTATAAATGTTCTGTAAGAAATCTTAATAAAATAAAAATTAAAAAATATTGCTGCTCTTATAGGATTGGACCGGAATAAGTTAATAAATTTGGCCTATTTGCTTGGAAGTGATTATACTGAAGGAATACCAACTGTGGGTTGTGTAACTGCCATGGAAATTCTCAATGAATTCCCTGGGCATGGCCTGGAACCTCTCCTAAAATTCTCGTAAGATCTTTTATTTCTATAATTCAGATAATTGTATGAATACCCAAATAAGCAAACAGAACTATTATTTACAGCATGAACTGTTCACTGAGAACATGAACTGTTCAAAAATCATTGTTCACTGAGAAAGCAGCGGGAAGTATTGGTTGTTTTCCCTTTTCTAGAGACGATGAATTAAGAGTCAGTTCTTTTCTTAGTGGTGCTGGGCTTGTCCTGTGGATTTCACAGGAACATAGAAGTTGCCCTTTCATTCAATGACATACTTACAGAGCAGCTACGATGTCACACACTGCGCAGGCCTTGGCATAGGCCATACCCTCCAGGACTCCCATAGTCTTAGAGGTGATGGAGAAGCAAAGGAAACTGTACTTGTCTGTGTGTTCAGTGTCCTGAGAGAGGTCGGCCAGCAAGGGACTTGGAAATACAATGTTAGGAATGTTACATTCAGCACTCCCGTCCTGTTTCTCATCGTGTGAATCCCGTGACGTGTTCAGTGGCGAAGTCTTCCTCCATCCAGAACCCAGAGCTGTGCTATTCTTGGGGTACATTTTTCACTGTGAAGATTCTGAGATGGTAGAGTTATGAGTATGTCTGGGAAAGTAGTTTTTTCTTTGTCCTTGATGGCATCTTTTTTAAAAAAATTGAAATATAGTTCACATACCACAAAGTTCACCAATTTAAAGTGTACAGTTCAGTGGTTTTTAGCATATTTACAAGATTGTGGTGGCATCTTTTAACCATCACTATGTCGTGAGATGCTGTTTGGTGGTGGCTGATTTAATGATCCTTTCGTGTTCTCTCCAGTTACGTATTTTGTGTTTGAAAGATGCTGGGATGCTCTGGTCTGAAGAGGCAGTGATAAGAATCACTGAAATGAACTGCGAAATTGTTGTAGTGATTGCAGTCTTCCAGTCATAGCACACTCTCCAATGTGTTATATTTTATTCTTTCTTCATTTCTCTTTTTCTGATTTTTTATTGTTGAAGAAGTTTATGTGCTGGGAATAAGTTATTAGGTAGATACATATCATGGTAGGTAAATAACTTGAAAACCTACCAATAACTTTATTATACAAATAAAGCACCTAATAGAAAATTTTAAATGTATATTAAAAATGATTACAGTTTACAATTTGTTTATGTAATTTTAGACTTCTCTTCACACATGTATGTGCATGTGCATTGCATATGTATGTATACTCATTTGCGTGTGTGTATTATATTTTTTTACAAGAATGGGATGATGCTATATACTTGTATTTTACCTGTAACCCACTTGGTTTTAGAACAAGGCCTATTATCAGTGATGTATAGATTTATATCATTTTTAATGGCTCCAAGTGGTCCCTTTTTGGGGCTATCAGGACTAATTTAGTCAAATGCCTTTTTTTATTTCTATTTTAAAAAAGGTATTACAAACATTGATTTGAGTGTCCTTAATTTTTGGATTCTTATCTAATGATTATTTTAGGATAAGTGAAAATGGCATTGGTATTTCCATTTGGTTTCTTGGTAACTATTGAGAATGAATTTTTTATGTTCATAGACAGTTTGTGTTTCTGATTTCGTGAATGACCTATTTATGCTGTTCCGCTTTTCTTTGTTCAGCAGTTTTTGCCCGTTTGTTGCCTGCTGAATCGTTTTCATATTTGAGCAGTTTCTGCCTTTGGTGTTCCAGCTGATGCCAGATAGGAGCAGCCTTCGCCCTGCCTGACTCAGGACACTTAAGATGATTACAGAGTAAAGAGCAGGAAGGATGGTGGGAAACCGGGAAAACCAGAATGTGGCCTTGCTTTCTTTCCTGTTCCCCTTTCCTGAAGGCACCCTGGCTGGTGACTCATTCTTAGAGTGGGGCTGCATTGGGCCTGCAGGTTGAATTCAGCTGTAGTTACATTTGGTTTGGACTGCACGGTGTGGTCCTCTTTTGAGCTTTAATTTTCAATTGGCTACCAACATTTACCTTTGGGGAGATTTTACAAAAAACTGTGAATTCTCTTGGAGGAAAAAGGATATCTGAAAATCCTGGGGCTAAATTTCTGGCTAGCACAGCACTTCCCCTCCCCTACCCCAAGGCCTTGGACTGGGCATGAATCCTTCAGTTTCATCACAGTTGCCGCCACTCCCACAGCTCAGCTGGTTGACAGGCACCTTCCTCCTTTCATCTTTATGTGAAGTGCCAGGCCCTCTTGCTTGAAGGGGTAACCGTTGCTTTGGCTTGATGAGCTCACAAGTGCACTGATTTTCCTAACTGGCAGTCGTGATTACGTTTCAAAAATGAAAATCTGCAAGTAAAGTAAAAGAGAATTATCGGTATTCCCCCAGCGCACTCCTGCAAAGTGTTGTAAAAGTAATGAAGAAAAATTATTTTTTCCTGTTTGCATTTGGTTATTGTAATACAATGATGTGACCACAATTAGTCATTTCCAACGCTAGATGGCACTCCTGCGTCGGCCAGGCGGACCCTGGCCCGGGCAGCCGGTCTGGGTGGGTTCCTAATACTGTACAAGGAAGCTCCTGAAGCAGGGAGTGTGAGGTGCGGGCGTTTCTTCAGGTTCTATTGCGTGCATGAACTGATGAGGATTATGTTACTAACTTTTATGGCATTTATTTTTTCCTAATTGTATAAATGTTTCTGGTCAACTGTCACTGCATTACAAACCACCTTATTCAGCCTCAGTGGCTTCACACAGCAGTAGTTACTGATTTTGCTCATACCTCTGAAACTTTCCCAGGCCTCATGGGGCTCCTTGCCTCTGTTTCATGTCGTCTAGGACAGCTCAGCTGGGTGCAAGGACCCCTTAAGATGGCCCGCAGGGCTGATGAGGCGGTGGCTGTCGGTCTCGGGGCCTCGCCACCTGGATGGACACTTTGTGAGCTTGGCTTCCTCACAGCATGTTGCAGCCAAGAGCAGGAGGTCCAGGAGACAGGAAACACTGAGGACGTCCCCTAGGTCTGGCACAGCTGGCCTCACACTGGTCAGCCATGGGCCCGCCCTGCTCAAGAGGAGGCCGCATGGACCTGCTTGATCATGGGAGGAGTGTCCAAGAGCCTGTTGCTGTCTTTATCTGGCCAGTTTAGGCTTAGAATGGAAAACATTGAAAAACGAATAAAACATAAAGAAGAAAATGAACAGCTGTGTTCTCACATAGAACATTGCCTAGCACACAGCCAAATAATAGTTGTTCCTGTTATTTCTTTTAAATATCTGTTTACTTTTCTCAGATATGTTTTTTCCAAAATTGGAATTTACAATTATACTTAAGTAGAGTTATATTATCTCTGTGTATGTATATGTATATATATATATATATATATATATATATATATATATATTTATCTGTTATATATATCTTTTTAAAATTTAACATTTTTTGGCATATTCACATGTTATTAAATATTCTTGGATCCGTTATTGTATTTGATTTGAGGTAAATAATACAGATACATTACTTCCATTTTACTGCTAAGAAACAGACCCAGAGAAGCTGTAACTTTTGTGGTATAATGATGAGTGTGGGCTCTAGAGGAAGACTGTACCAATTCTAGCTGTGAAATTTTGAGCTAGTTACTTCTTTGTGAGTTCAGTTTCCTTCTCTGTGAGGTAAGGGTAACGACAGGACATGGCTTGTATGATTATTGGGCATGTGAAATATTTAACACAGTGCCAAGCACAGAGGAAGCATTCCATAAATGTTTGACATTATTATACATTGTGGCTAATACTAAAAATAATAAAATATTCTATGTATCATATAATTTGAGTTAGAACTTGAGTTTACATGTTCTGAGTTTAGTTGTTTATCCATAGTGCATGAACCGTAATGTCTTATTGTTTTGTAAGTAATTGTTTCTTTTACTTTACAGAGAATGGTGGCATGAAGCTCAAAAAAATCCAAAGATAAGACCTAATCCTCATGACACCAAAGTGAAAAAAAAATTACGGACATTGCAACTCACCCCTGGCTTTCCTAACCCAGCTGTTGCTGAGGCCTACCTCAAACCTGTGGTGGATGACTCACAGGGATCATTTCTGTGGGGGAAACCTGATCTCGACAAAATTAGAGAATATCCTTTTACTTCTGAAAACAGAAGGAAACACCTAGTTAAATTTGTCTTTGGTTTAAAACTTAGAAAACAGAAACTTGGATCATTTTTTTCTTAATATCCCATTAATCCCATATTCTTAATATCCCGCTCTCTTTTCACTCCCTTTTCCCTCTCCTTAGTTGTTTTTGTTTGTTTGTTTTAAAGTGACAGTGTATCACTCTGTTAACCAGCCTGGAGTGTAGTGGTGCAATCATAGCTCATTGAAGCCGCCACTTCCTGGGCTCAAGGGCTCCTTCTGCCTCAGCCTCCTAAGTAGTGCAAGCCACTGCATCTGCCCCCTCTCCTTAGTTTTAAAGAGGATCTTTACTTGAATAAGCATTCATAGCTACAACCACATATTTATTACCTAAGTATTATTATATAATAAATTTGTTATAATATTTATTAAATATTATTGATTCTGAAAGAAAGAAAGATGATCAATCTTCTTCTTTTTATTACTGGTTTTCCTTTCTGTGTATATTTAATCATTTGGATAGATGTTTCAAAACTTGCACTAGAATTAATCCAACTACGTTTTACTCTTTTTCCTCAAAGAAATATGTAAGATGTCTGAAACTTGTTTTTATTCCAGGTAACCCTTTTTCATAGTCACAGTCTTTGATGTCCTAAAGTGAGAGCTAAGTATGTTTTATTTTAGGGAATTGAAAAGAACGTAGTTCCAGATGATTATGCTGGAGTAATTTATTTTGTTATTACTTTCCTTTAGCACTCTAATCTTTATAAATATGAAAATCTTAGGACAGACGGGGAATGGAATCAAGAATGGGTTCTTTGGACCTTTTTATTTATCACTTGTTTAAATATCTTTCAAAATATTTGTAAGTCTTAACTGCCTGCATATTTTGTCAGCGGTATTTCGGCTGGAACAGAGCGAAGACAGATGAATCTCTGTTTCCTGTATTAAAGCAACTCAACGCCCAGCAGGTAACCATGGTGGCTCTTCTCCTAAGTTCAGGATGAAGACTCGGCTGTGGTTGACAGCTGTTAAAGATCATTTAACTCCTTTATTTTAGGGCAGATAGCATACATTTTGAAATCGGGATAATTTAGATGAGAGAAGAGAAGAAAATAGAAAAATAAAAATTGGACTTTGGCTTCCATTTCTATTATCACTCTTAGGGCTGAACTTTGGAGTCTTTTCATATATTCATTTTTTCTTTGAAAAAAAACCAGTCTAATAATTGATTTCACACTAAGGTGTTTCTGATTAAATACTTTACTCCTTTGGTATTACTTTCATTTTTTAGCACAAGGAAGTGTTCAGTCCAAAGCAATTCTGATTTAAGTTTTTATAAGTATTAATATCTATAAATTCTGTAAATGAATCTTGAAAGGTAGAAGTTCAGTCATTATTGTATGTCAGTAGGAGAGGTTTTTGCGGGACGGGAGCCCTACTTCTTGCTTTATCTATGAGTATGCTCTGACTCACACAAAATAAGCTTTCGCCCACACTAGAAACAACCCACAAAACATACATACAAATAAACCACTTAGCAGAAATGAGAGTGTAGCTTTTGAGATAATATATTTAAATTAAATCAGTTTTCATTACACTTGGTTAATTTTGAAAAACATGAACAAAACTGAGACAACATTTCTACGAGTTTCTCTGTTTATTTGGATGACTATATACTGGAAACATTTTAAACCAACCAAAAAGGAAAGCTGTTTGGCTTAGTGTCTGGTGACTTCTTAATTTCAGATAAATTTTCTTGTATAAAGGGTAAAAGGTTTATCTCCCTTTTCATTATAAAACCTAATGTTCTTATTTTTTCAAAATTAGAAAATGAAGGAAATAAATTAAAACTACTCATTATTTACCTTCTTTAATACAGATGTTAACATTTAGCTTAAAAAATTTTCCTGCATTTATTTGTGACCATACTAAATGTAACTTAAAATATCTCATCCTCCCCCAACTTATTAGCATATTTTCTTCTATGTAAATTTTCTTCATAGTTTTCTTAATTCCACATGACTAGATTACATTTTATGAAAGACATTTGAATAATTAGTTCACTTGTTGGACCTTTAATTTTCAAGTTTTTATAAATAATGCTGTGATGAACATTAGGCATGTAGCTTTACCCATATGTAGCTATTTTTAAAGAGTAGCTTCTTAAAAGTGGATGTGCTGAATAAAAAGCAGGAATATTTCTTACAGTTGCTAATATATACTGTGAACTGGCCTCTTAAAGATATTGTATGATGATAATGTTTTTAAAAGAAAGATACAGTGGGACTTAGAAACAGTCCCCATGAAATTGTGTTGCTCCTGAGGAAAAAGAAATGTTTAGCTACAGAAAAAATATTTAACGCTCTTTGAGTATCTAGGAAGAGACTTCTTATTTGAGATGTGGACTGAAGACTTAGTTGATAGAGATGGTACAAGTACTGCTTTAGGTATGATTTAGAAAGTGAAAATCACTATTAGTAATTCATTGGGAGAGAACTGGTTTTTGGGAGATAATGAATTAATATTCTCTGACATACTAACGCAATGTGAGTGATCAAGGTTGAGCTTGTTGATTTGGTTTAGAAACTTGACTTACTTGTCTGATTTATTATTATTATTATTTTGTTATTTTTTTTTAGACACAGCTCCGAATTGACTCCTTCTTTAGATTAGCACAGCAAGAGAAAGAAGATGCTAAGCGTATTAAGAGCCAGAGACTAAACAGAGCTGTGACATGTATGCTCAGGAAAGAGAGAGAAGCAGCAGCCAGTGAAATAGAAGCAGTTTCTGTTGCTATGGAGGAAGAATTTGAGATACTTGATAAGGCAAAAGGAAAAACCCAGAAGAGAGGCATAACAAATACATCGAAAGCCTCATCAAGCCTGAAAAGAAAGAGGCTTTCAGATTCTAAAGGAAAGAATACATGTGGTGGATTTTTGGGGGAGACCTGCCTGTCAGAATCATCTGATGCATCTTCAAGTGAGGATGCTGAAAGTTCATCTTTAATGAATGTACAAAGGAGAAAAGCAGTGAAAGAGCCAAAAATCAATGCTTCAGATTTGCAGAACTCACTGAAGAAAGCTCCTGTGAAGTATGGAGGTGCGACCACCAGCAGCTCTAGTGATGACGATGGAGAGGAAGAGAAGACAGTCCTCGTGACTGCCACATCTGTGTTTGGGAAGAAAAGAGGGAAACTGAGACGTGTAAGAGGAAGAAAAAGGAAACTTAATTAAAAAATATGTATCTTCTATAATTAGGTATGACAGCCTTTGTAATGAATTTGTTAGGACATAATAAAATTAACTGTATTTGCACAGTCTTTGTATTTAGTGTGTGGTTCTTAAAAATACAAATGCTAAATTTTGACATTTATTTTTTAATGTTTTACTTTAGTGTTTTTTAGTTGAATATTTCAAGTATCATTGGATATTTTCTTGTATTCACAGGCTTTGTCTTTTCATGTTTTCATTATCTTACGTCTGATCCTTTCTGGCCACGTTTAGAAAATGAAAACGATTTCTATTGATCAGCACTCACTCACAATAGGCATTCCCTCTGACATTCAGACCTAGCTGAGAAGAAAGATATGCATGTTTCTTATTCCACAAAAGTGGCAGTTTTACACAGCTGTTTAGCCCTGCTGCCCATGGCTTTGCATTTTCCCTCAGGTTCCACTTAAAAGCATAGCAGGAGGGAACCTCACTGCTGGAACATATTTGAATATGTTTGCTGTGGTTTTAGTAAATAATTAGGAAACCTAAATGAGGCACATCATTCTACCTGTGAGCATTAAGTGTATGGGAACCTCTGTACCATTATGTTTGGCTTTTAAACAAGACTTCACTTGACAGAAGCTGACTTGTGTGTAAATGGATTTGGAGGCTTGGAGCTAGAGTTGAACTGGTGTAGGTGGGTCAGCTTTAGGAGTGGCCTGCAGGGGTTGATTGTTATTGACAGTGTTTGTTCAGAGTGGACAGCCAAGGTTATTTTAAGATTGCTCCTGCATAGACCTTCCCCAAGAACAATTCCCAAGCTCCCAGTTGCTTAAAGTTAAGAATGATTGGAGAATAGTGCTGCCAGTTCCTTTAAGCATGGGTTTGCTGCCTTCCCAAGTCTGTGTCTTTTTGGCATCTTTAGTATTTCCATCTTTCCTGACTTCTTCCCTCAGCCTTCAAATTGAAAATCGTCACCAATGAAAACAAAATGCAAATAGATAACTTCCAGCAGTCTTTGAATGACTTCCGGATGTGTTGTTTTTTAGGCTCCCATTTGTGTTGACTTGTCAGCCAAACTTCTCCAGTACTTGGACTACAGCAGCTGCTTTTCTTTTGCACATTATTTCTTCCTAATTTCAAATACGTCTTCTGCATCCATCTTTCTTCTCTAGCAGCTTCCTTCTAAAGTCAATGATCATTTCCGCATAAATAAATCTTTTCCTCATGTTTCTTTTCTCTGGAGGAACTTGGAGCAGAACATTTTTGGAGGCAAGGGGAGGGGAACATTAACTTTTTCGTGTTTTTCTTATTTCTCAGAATTACTTGTTACTGGGAGTTTTCTACATATATGTTTTGTAGGTAGGATTACAGTCTTGCTAAAGAATTTAATTTGGTGCCTTTAGTAGACCTTTACATTTGTTTTGCACTGCATTAGCTGAGGGAAAGGATGAACCACGGTAAAAACAGATGCTCATATACAATGGTCCGAATCAACTAGAACATTATGTCTCTCTTGCTCAACAGTCTGAGCTGACGAAGCAGTTGTGTGCCATGAGGTCATTCAGTCCTGTGTTCAGCCAACCCTTAGGATGCTGTCTTGCCTAAGTGGTCAATACTGGGTGACTGCTTCATCTGCATTGCATCCTGCCAGAAGGGGAAAGTCCAGGGCAAGCAGAAAGTCTTAAGGGTGACTCGAAAAATCACTTCTCCCATCTTGTCTACATGGACTGAGCATATGGCCACAGCTAGATATATATGCTCAGAAATGGAATTTCTACCCAGTCTATGTGCCTAGAGAGAAGGGGAAATGGAAGGTCAGGACCTGAGAAACCTGTTCCATAACAATTATTTATATAAAAGTTAATATTATATCTTTTTTTATCTCAATCCTGTGACCAAGACATAATGCTTTTACAAGGGTAGAAAGACTTTTGAGACATTAACCAGTTTTGCCAAATTCACCCATGTAGTAGGTAAAACTTCTCACCTGAACCAAAATCTACGAACTCAAAATTTCAGGGTGCTATTTTACCTATAAAAGAGGTTTCCTGTTTAAAATACCAGCTGAACAAATTTTTCATTACTCACATCAAGTTGGTGTACCTAGAACTTACTTAGGATGATGATCATCATGTGCCTTTTTTATTATCTTCCAGCTCATTAGTATTTTGTTTAGCTTTATCTATACTTGCTCTTAAACCCATATATTATTTTATTTCATTTATTGTTATTTTTCAGTTCTATTTGACTCATTTTTATAGATTCCAGTTCTCTGGTGTACTTCTCCTTGTCATCTGTTTTTGAGCATCTTAATCACAGTTACTATAAAGTATGTCAAATAACTCCAATATCTGGGTCACCTATGAGTTTAATTGTATTGTCTGTTTCTTGGTATGCTTGGGTAAATTTTGACTGAATGTTGAACAGTCTATATGAAAAATTGTAGACACTCTGTATCTTCTGTAGGAATTCATTCAAGGTGGTGGCAAAAATATTAAAGGAAAAATAGTAGAGAAAGTTATATAGTCTGAAACCCTTTTAGAAGGCCTAAAAGTTTTTCCTAGTTTCAGTAGATGTTTCTGCTGAAAGCAGCCTAAATGTCCCCTACATTTAGTTAATAAGTAAAACAAATAGCCAAAGTAAAAAAAGTTTACCTAACTAACTTGTTTACTCATATAGTCTTAAAATTAACCTATAAGCCAGATAGCCATCTCAAGAAGCTAACTAAAGATATTACCCTCTAATAGTGTTTGCTTTAAGCATCAGAACCTGTGCTTTAATCTATTCACTCTAGTAGTGTTAACTCAAGCCTTTGTCAATTAAACTTTATTAAATAAATGCAAGTGTCTTTAGCTAGTAAAAGCCAGCAGCTGCTATCTGTTTATGGCACTCTCCAAAGAGTCTGTAAGCAGCCACAGTCCCTCAGCCAAAATAGCAAAGCATAATCTCTGTGTGTCAGTGTACTTTATTTATCCGTCCCTAAGTCAAAGTCTGCAAGACAAACCTCTGCAAAGTAGTGACCCCAACAGTTGGTCTGTCAGTCTTCCTGCAGAGAGGATTCCAAAATGTGTTCGGACAGGCAGCAGAGGGGAAGATCACCTCGATGTAGCCAGCCAGAATCAACTGGATTCAAAGCTGGTTTGCGGTTTTTTCTGTAAGACTTTAACTTCTATTTTTCTCCCTCATTCCAGGAAAGTTGCTTTCCAGGACTACCCTGATGTTTCTTCTTTTGTGCTTGGATCTGCTTTTGTCACTAAATGCTTCAAAAATTAGCCTTTTGCCCTAAACAGCTTAAGCAGTAAACATTTTGAGTGAAAGGTCAGCACTAAGTGTCAGGCTTCTCTGTCCCTTTTACTGGGATCTTGGGCCCACAATTCTGGCTGTTTTGGCAGCCACAAACACTTCTTTTTTTTGAGTCAAAGTCTCACTCTGTCTCCAGATTAGAGTGCAGTGGTTCGATCTTGGCTCACTGCAACCCCCACCTCCTGAGTTCAAGTGATTCTCCTGCCCCAGCCTCCTCAGTAGCTGTGATTACAGGTGTCTGCCACCACGTCCAGCTAATTTTTGTATTTTTAGTAGAGATGGGGTTTCACCACATAGGCCAGGATGGTCTTGATCTCGACTTCGTGATTCACCCGCCTTGGCCTCACAAAGTGCTGGAATTACAGGTGTGAGCCACAGTGCCCTGCCACAAACACTCTTCTTTTGTCTCCACAGTTCTGTGAGATTGCCTGAAGCTCCGCTGCTATCCTTACAGGTGGTCCTTTCTTTGGCTTCCTCAAGAAACAGCAAAACAGCAATGCCTGGAATTGTTGGCTGCCTTCATAGCTATCTGATACTTTGTAACGGAGGCATGTTTGTGTGGTGTATGGGTGTGTATGTGTTTAAAAATCTGCTTTTCTCATTCTTAATAGAAGCTGAGGTCTGCTATAAGCTACTTACATCTGGAGGCAGAAGTCTATGTACTTCTTAAACAGTTCAGTATAATTTAAGTGATCATTGTCATCATGTTGGTTAAGATGCTTGAATTAGGGATTCTGCCTCTTAAGAGATCTAATAGGATTGCATGGTCTCTCCAAAAAATCTTTTAAAAACACGTTTTTTTATTCATCATTTATTCTTACTTTTTAAAAAGCCCAAAAGAGAGAGTAGCCTCTGCCCCATATTAACTTCCTATGAATAATAGTTTTTATTGTTTAGGACTTTGAACTTTCCAGAATGTTTTTACCTATAATATTCACCCCACAAATATAGATTGTATGACTTTTATATCATTTTAAAAAGATTTTTATTTTTTTTTTGAGGCAGGGTCTTGCTCTGCCACCCAGGCTGGAGTTCAATGGTGCGACCACAGCTCACTGCAGCCTCCATTTCCTGGGCTGAATGATCCTCCTGCCTTGGCCCCCCAAAGCTTCCCAAAGGCTAGGGCACTCTGCCGATATATCCTTGTTTTATAGATGGTGAAACCAAGAAACATACTAAGTAAATGGCTTAAAATCACAATCTAATTTTAGGCAGGAATAACTGAAATCAGGCTTTCCAACTCCTAGCCCTTTCCAGTACTTTAAAGTGACCTTGATTCAACTGTGTATACATCGTGGACCTGTAGTCACAGCCGTAAGTTTAACTTTACAATATTGCTTGTATCGTTAACTCTGTAATTTTCTATGAAGGATCTTTCCAGTGGAGTGGGAAATGTGTGCGTCCTCTGTGAGGCAAACCTACATGCACTTGGGCAGGTGCACAGGTGGACCTATATTTTCAGCCTACCCATTCAGTCTGAATAGGAAGGAATCATTGTAGTCTGATTCCTGGGTGCAGAGCAATACTGTACACATCCTGGTGTGGTTGTTGGCATCTTAAACAGTGTTCCCATGCAGGTAAGTGACATGAAAAATACGTGGCCTTCATTTCCTGGTATATCATAGCCACGGAGTCTTAGAATATTTCTTAGCATCCAAGTTAAAAGCTGGATCACACCCTCCAAATATTCATTGCTCACTTCCGGGAGTGGGTTGTACTCACTTCTAGCTCTGTTCATGAGACACTTAAGTGGGATATTCCTAGCCTTCTGCCCACTTATATACCTGGAATACAGTTCCGGGCATTCCAGCCTCACTGCTGTATAACCAGAGGCACGGAAGCTGCAGCTGTCAGGATCTTAATCCCTTCTGCTTGGACTCGTTACCAGTATGTACAGTAGTAAACTGTGTGCTTTGGTGCTAGCCCTTCAGTCACTACCAGAGGTCTCAGCAGCAAAAACAAAAATTGTGGATGATGTGTTTTAATCTTCTAGAAACTCAGCTAATAGGTATGTCCAGGATTTCCATTTAAATATCAGCCTGAAGGCAGGCACGTATAATGAAGACCTGTTTCTTTAATGGAAGAGATCTAAATTGGGAGCAAAGCATGTGACCAGTTTTGCTATTGTTTTAGCTATGTAGCCTCAATGACATAATTTAACCTTGGTTTTCCTGATTTGCAAACTGTAGGGAAAATAATAATGTCTTCTAACTTACAGAATTCTTCAGTAAAAGAAAATGTGGTGGCTGTGAAAAGTGCTTTGGGTTTCTTGGAAGAAAGGAGTGCTATATTAATGCACGGTAGTGTAATAGTTATTTGACCCCAAATTGAGGAGTAAAACATCAAATTGTTATTTTCTAAAGTTTGAATAACAGTTTGTTAAGTTTATTCAGATAATCTGCTCTATTTTAGAGGCATAAATAGTTCCTTCAGTTTTAAATATATTGGCTGTGATAGTATGGACTCTTTAAGGTAGATGCTGCTCAGAGATTATCTGGCAGTGAGGCTGTTTGACATTGCATGCATGCTAATGATGGGAACAAGTGAACTTTCAATGTTTTAATCAATTTAATTGATTTTAGGATTGCTATCTTACTAGTCAATATGAAGATGATGGCTTTCTTTGTTACGTTTGAGGTAGTCTCTGGTGAAGAATATGTTTTCTTTCTCTAGTAGATTTTTAAGATTTCTGACTCCAGGAACCTTCGTTGTGATTTTAATTTGTTCCGCATAGTGTATGGATGGCTTTCTTAAGTCAGCTTTGTTAATGTATAATATTTTAATATCAATTTGTCTGCTATATTTGAAGTTAAACTTATTAGGAAAATATAAAAGCACTCCATACAGATTTTGAATTAATTATTACCATTTGATATTTTTAATGTATTGTCTATCTAGTTTTCAGGAAATGATAAAGAAAACATCAATGTATCACCAACCATCCTTTCATTACTTGGACTCAGAAGCTCAAGAAGGTAAATCACTTTATGTTTATGTAACTTACCAATTCTAAGACGACAAACAACCAATAGAATATAAAGTCTTACCTTTGCAGTATTCATTAATGTCTTAAAGGGAGTTGGGACTTTTTTCAATGGCCTATTATGTCTTGGTTTATATTTGCAAGCCTGCAAACATCTTGAATAATGTTTAATGTCTACTACTATAGCACGATCTTGATCATATGTTCAAGATACGTTTGTCAGAATATGTTAAATATAAAGCCTTACTAAGCATATACAGGGTTTTTGATCTTTATAAGGAATACAGTTTTTTCTCAAGTGCTATATACTAAATGTATGATGTGATTTCCAAGTACATTTTATTTCAGATAAGAAGCTTTCAAGAGAGATAAAAATAGTTTTATGTAAAACCTAACTTTTTACTAGTACTTGGGTGAAAGGTGAATTTAGGCTATACAAACATCTGTAGCCTGAGTTTATGGTCCTTCTAACTATTAATTAGCGGCAAATACATAATGTAATTTGACCTCTGGATGTAAGGAGATTAAGTTTGAATTCTACTACCAGTGTGGTTATTTGAAATTGAACTACCATGTTTATATAGTCTTAAATATCAAGCGTGACTTTGCATGGGTTATGTAATATAACTGCCCACATTTTCTTGAGATCAAAAGTACAGACGTACACTCTCGACAGACTAGAAAAATTGTTTTTATAGAGCAGTTGTAATACAAATCTAACTATCTTGATTTCTTTTATTCTCTCCTTATCTGCACACACTGTAGATGTTTTCTAAACACTATAGTCCTGGTTTTTCTGTTTTTGGCCATTCCAGGTGGCTTCTACCTAGGAGAGCATACCCTTTGGCCAAGAGAGCTGGGTGTATGCCCAGTGTTGGCAGCCTACCTGGCTTAAACACAAACAGTTTTACCAAGCGATTCTTGCAAACCTAACCATTTAAGTTGATCACTTAGAGAACCCAGCCATTTAGATGATTTGAATTAAGATGCAATTTCTGTGTGGTTTATGAATAAAATTACATCATTATCATTACCATTAGTAACAGCTCTTGGTTTCAACAGTGCAAAAGATAATTTGGCAAATTACAAAGGAAATGGAAGACGTTCAAGGTAAGGTTGAGATGGAACTAGGATTAAAATGTTTTACAGCACGAACAAACACACTCTGTAATCATCTGTATAGCCAATTAAAGTTTTAAAAATATGTTCACACACACAGAGCTAAGGGGATTAAGGATGTGCCCTTGGAGCAGATCAGGTGACATTTAGTTGGAAAGGCATCACCAAGTAGATGAACACTCAGTTCTCAAGTACTGAAGGATATTGACTTTTCCTGCCCTAAGTCTTTTATACTTAGAATCCTGTGCTTGGAAAGGATGGAGCAAACCCATAGCTCAATGCTCATATTTCCACACTGGCATGAAAATCCAAGAATTATAGGATGTCACTTATTTATACACAGGTTAAAATTAGGGCTATGGTGGGTGCCAAATATTCATGTGTTTCTAAGGCTATATTATAGTTGAAAATGTCTAAAACCTCACCCTCATTAACTATTCTAAATATCTATGTTGCCTGCCTCATACCAACAGCCTCTCTCCAGCTTTAGCACATGTAGCAATCTGTTATAGGACAGTGGGGTCACCTGAGGGCCTGAAGCCTTGGGGAAGATTCATCCTTGCCCAAAAGGCTCAGTGATTTCTGCTCACAATGACTCCCAAATCTGTCATATCTGCTGCTTACTAGACATCCTACTGACTACCTCGTGTCAGTTTAGTGCCTTCAAGACATAGATGCCGAAATGGGGCTAAGCATGTAACGGATTTATTGGGGGAAATGTTTGTGGAGAAAAAGGGAAAAACAGAAGTAGGCAAGGAGAGCCTACAGAGCCCAACGTGGGTCCAGTGCACGTGAGAGGAGACAGCGAAGTCAGATTGGGTGGGAAGAGTCTCCACCTGCAACACAGTTCTGAGAAAGTCTCGGGTGGATCGATGAAAATCCCTGAGCAGGAGTTGCCCACTAGAGGAGTGTCCTAAATGGAACAGGAACCGGCTGGCTTGAGCAGGCAGCTCCAGGAGGAGCATGGTTTCCCAGGAGCCACAGGGGCAGCAGTGGGCAGTGTTGGGCAACGCTGCTCCTTGTGGCTGGTTTTCTTAATTTGAGTGGCACACCCAGAGTAATAGGTATTGAAAATAATTTTCCTTTGCTGGTTTGCACCTCCACCTATATTTTCCATCTCAGTCAATGGTGACATCATTCTGCAGGCTGCCCAGAAACCTGGAATCATGCTCATTTTCTCCCTTTCCTTCACGCCCTTCATCGTGACATATCATTGATTTTACATCCCTGATAGGTTTCCCTACCACTTGCTCCATTTCCACCATCACTTGCCTTGATTCAGGTCTTCATTATCTCTGCTCCTGACTGCTGTTAACCGCCTTCTAATTGGCTGTCTCGCTCTGGGCCAACTCACTTTCTTTACCCTCTCTAGTTCTTTTTCCACACTGTAACCTGTACTGCATGATCTTTTAAAAATCCAAATCTCGTCACATTTGTCTGCTGCTGAAAATTCTTCAGTGCCTCATTATTTCCTATAGGAGAAAATCAAGACTTCTTAGCATGGCATAATGTGTTTTATCTTGTGCTACTATCCTCATTTATTCTTTATTCTGGCTGTCAGGGTTTCCCAAGTTGGAGAATTGGTCTGGAAACTTTTTGCCAGTGGGCTTTTGCACGTGTTATTTCCTATGTTTGACAGGTCTTCCTTTCTTTGATTTGACTGACAAGCTCATAATTAGGAAGGCTCAGATAATTCTTTCCTGAGCTCTCTGAGAGGTGGAACTTTCTATTTTTGAGTTGCCTACTGAAGCTTTTGTTATAGCACTTCTACTGAGCCTCTGTTACAGCGCTTGGTCTGCCTTCTAATTCATAGTGCGCAGGTGCTTAATAAATGAGTGAATGAACGAATTAGCTATAACCTAAACCTATTGGTTGACTTAAATTTGCTCATTAGCAATGATCTTGTATTTCTGATCATCAGTCAGTTGACTCCCTTCAGGACCTAATATGTTCTGCTCAAGGTATCACATTTTTTTTTTTTTTTTGAGACGGAGTTTCGCTCTTGTTACCCAGGCTGGAGTGCAATGGCGCGAACTCGGCTCACCGCAACCTCCGCCTCCTGGGTTCAGGCAATTCTCCTGCCTCAGCCTCCTGAGTAGCTGGGATTACAGGCACGCGCCACCATGCCCAGCTAATTTTTTGTATTTTTAGTAGAGACGGGGTTTCACCATGTTGAGCAGGATGGTCTCGATCTCTCGACCTCATGATCCACCCGCCTCGGCCTCCCAAAGTGCTGGGATTACAGGCGTGAGCCACCACGCCTGGCCAAGGTATCACATTTAAAATTTTCAGGAGCATCTCCATAAATCTTTGCAGAGTTACATTAATGGGTAAAATGGCTTTTATAAACAATATTGCATTAATACATATGGAAATTTATGTGAATAATTCTATCACTGTTTTAAGAAACCTATTGAACTAGAGTCCAAAGCAATATATTTAATATACTAGTTGGAGTACTATAGCACATATAATTACTAATATGAGAATAATTTAACACATTTTAAATATTTTAAAAGTAACATGAATAATTGTCTTCCAGATAAGACTAACATGTTTTCTATGTGTTGAATAAAAATAGCTCTTGAATATGCCAGTCTACTTCAGATGTCTCCAAACCTCAGATTTGAATGTCAAGTTTGAATGTAATTGTTGCCCCTAGGGGAGGCATACCACCACTTCAAAAGCACACAAATTCATACTTAGCTCCTTGACCCAAGGCTACTGCCTTCATTTAGACTCTTGTCATTTTTCATCTAGCTTCTTCCAAAAGCCTTCTAATTGGCTAGTAAGGTCAGCAGTTCTTCAGCTACTGCTGTCAGATGAAGTTCTTAAATATCAAATCTGATCATGTCAATTCCTGTTCTAATAATCTTTATTGGCTCATCCTCACCTTATAGAACAAATGTCAATGTTGCACATAAATTTAATCCCAGCCTACTTCTTCAGGCTTATTTTCTCCAGTTCACTAATATGCACCTCGTGTAACACTGATTATAATTCCTAAAGACAATCCCAAATGCCATGATCCTGAATGTCGAAATCCCCAAAGAACAAACTCCCTCACATCGAATTGAATTATCAAACCATAATTATAAATTTGGAATTGGGTGCAATCAAAACTTCCAAAAGTGGATTTCAAGGTGTTACCAACAGTTTCTTTTTCCGTTCAGCCCAATACTTTTGCCGGAAAATTCAGATGAGTGGATTGCCTGTGGAATATAGCAACAGGGAAAACTTTAGTCTAAAACGCATTATTTGTCTGCATTGGCAATTCCTTCCAGCTGATGAAATTCTATGAGCTCTTGATGAATTAAAGCCAGAATTGGCCTGATTCTGAAATAATTGTGTGCACAGTAGGATAAGAAGGCACACAATGGTGTTCCTGTTTGATCACCAATATTGTTTCAGCCAAGTCTGTGGTCTGTATATGAGAGCATGAGCAATGGATTTCCATGTACCTAAAACAACATAAAATGACACAGAAGATGGGAAATTTAATAGGAAATGCTCGTGTCGGTATATATTGAATCAAATTAGAATATTAAAAAGCACAACGTCATGTAGAAAATCAGTGTGAATGTATTCTTCAAGAAGAGCCACGTTCTAAAAGAAACAGTTACTCATCTCCATGCAAGACTTCAGAATAGAGTTAATGATCGTGGAAGTCTCTGTGCATTTGCCCATGCTTTATCCCTGTAATACACTTTTTCATATATTGAATTTTCTTTTTAGTTTCTTTGGGAAGGTTTTTTGTTTTTTGTTTTTTTTCCTTTTCTAAAGTTTTTTTTCCTCACCATTTTAAATCCTCAGCATTATTTTTTACAACTCACTATGCTATATGTTTCATCTTTGCATTTCCAAAACTAGAGGTATAAATTGTATGAGCTTTTAGAGAGTTCTAATTTGTTTTATGTATTTTTTTAAATTTGATTCCATGAAAATACATTTTCACAATACTGACTTTGTGTGTAAGCATTGTGCGTATATGTAAAAACCATGAAACTTCCTCCATAAATAAAGGGATTTTTTTTTTCTGCATCTGTATTCGTGAAAGATAATATATTTCAAGATCTCAGCTCTTTGGGAAATTGTATATGTGGTGGTGACCCATTATTTAATTTTAATTTTTTAGCGAGGGGGAGAGATCCAACTATGTTGCCCAGGCTGGGCTCTAGCAATCCTTTCACCTCAGCTTTCTGAGTAGCTGGGACTACAGGTGTGAGCCACCATATCCAGCTCCATTGTAGGTTTTCATCAGTTTCATCAAAATACTTAGGTTGTCCATCAGAATATTTCAAGCAACCAAATTATATAAGTGATTTCTTTATGAATACAGTTTGTCTACTCATGCTGTTATACCCGTGCAACTGTGGGTAGCACACCTGAGTGCTTATAATTGCAAAATTTTGTATATTATTATTACTGATTTTATTGTATAAAGTGGGCCATGAAGTGTTCTGTTTTTATGTTTCTCAACTTTTTTAAAAATGAAAATATGTTTTAAAGAACTTTTAAAATTATTGCTATCAGAATTATGTATTTGGGATTTTGATCTTTCAGGATTCAACATTTGGGATTATGGTGTCAGAAATTGCCTTTTGGGATTCTGGCCCTAAACCTCTAGCCTTGCACCCTCGCTCCATGATCTTCTAACGGCTCCTGGGCTTAAATATCTCCTCTTTTATGATGCTTCTTCCAATTCAACCAACCAGTGGTGCTTCCTACAGCATTTTAGAAAGACCTGTTTTATAGCATTTATCGTTTCATTGACATTTGTTTGGTTGTTTGTCCCTTCCATGATCCCAGTAGCAAACGTGTATACAACTAAATTACGTTCTTTGTTTTTCCACTTGCATCCTGTGCAGTCTCAAGGAAAGATGCATTTTCTTTCTTTTGTAAAAACAAAATGTAGCATTGTTTGGTCTACTGGATTAGAGTTACAACCTCTGTACATTCTTGAAACTAAGCAGACCAGCAGACAGAGAATATTTGTCGAATCTTCTCAGGAGGGTCCAAAACCTTGGCATTACTGAGGTTTTCAGAATTATATCTTTTAAGATAAACCTATGACCATTTACTAATCTGAAAATATCTTTAACTTTTTAAATCTGTAGGCATTTCTAAGAAGCACATGGCATTCATCTTTGAATAGAAGATTCATTTGAATGACAGTTTCTTTCATTTAGTAGAGGGGATTTTACTTTAAATTTTGCTGACAGGTTTTCATGACAGCCCTTAAATGGAAGCTTGAATTCACTTGTCATAGCTGTTAAAGAGTTGGGGTTTTTTTTTGGTGGGGGGAGTGCATTTCTGTGATCTGGCCCTTCCATTTATTATTACTATTATTGACCTTAAAAGTATGAAAAAGAAGAATTTAGACAAAGCCTCTATTTTTGAAGGCTTGCTGTAATCCAGCACTGACGTCAATTTGCAGCTGAATTTTCCTCTTAAGAAAATCATCATCATAATGTGGCAGAATCTTGCTACTTTTCACTTTATACTTGGAACCCCTTTAATTCTCAGGAGAACAAGAGCACCTGGTAAATTTTATTCACTATCAGCAAAGACTGAATAGCAGGAAAATGGTGTTAAGACTTTTCTTGTATCAAAAAGCATTAAAATAGATAAGCCCAAGATAGCAACATAATTGTAATACTCTGCCTTGATTATGTTTTATTTACAATCTATTTTAGTATTTGTGTCTTAATATTAAATTCATCAATAAATTAGTGTTCTAAAACAATAGTAGGTAGCTTTTTTTCTAAAGGTGCAGTTATCAGAAGTTTTCTGCTTTTCATGTAGGGAAACTGATGTGCAGAATCTTGTGTAACATTATCTGGTGTTTGTTATTTGTCCTGGGGGCTAAGTGCTAGATAATGAGGAAAGAATATATGTGGAAAAATTATTCTTCAGAAATGTATATTAGAATTCCATTGTATGACAATGCTATTAATATTTGCAGGAAATTGCTCTTCAAATCTTAAAAGCCAGATTACTAATTCATTAATTTTCTCAATATTCGACTCATATTCAACAACTAAGCATGCAGTTTAAGGGACATGTTCTTTGTAAATTATTTGGAGCATAGACTTTTCCTTTTTTATTACAAGGCTGCTGTAGGAATGCCTTTATAATAGTACAGCTCTTTCTGTTAGATTCTAGTTTAGAGATTCTTATTATCAATCTTGAAATGGGTGGTGGTATTGTTAGAGCTTAATATTAAACATATCTTGATTTAAGTAAATAATTACTATTTAAACTATCACCTCAAGGCCAGGTGTGCTGGCTCATGCCTGTCATCCCAAAACTTTTGGAGGCTGAGGCGGGAGGATCACTTGAGCTCAGGAGATGGAGACCAGCTTGGGCAACATGGTGAAACTCCATCTCTACTAAAAACAATGCAAAAATTAGCCAGGTATGGCGGCTCATGACTGTAGTCACTGCTGCTCAGGAGGCTGAGGCATGAGAATTGCTTGAACCCAGGAGGCGGAGGTTGCAGCGAGCCGGAATTTTGCCACTGCACTTCCTGGATGATAAAGCCAGACTCTGTCTCAAAACAAACAAAACAAAAAAACCCAAGAACAACAAAAAGCACAAAAACTATTGCCTCAAAACCTTTAAACAGAAGTTCACACTGGAAACAGTAAGCAATGTTTTAAGATGGAAATAATTATGTGTTTATGTGTGTATGTTTGCTTTTAAAATTTTACATATTTACTTCTAGACAAATTATTATTTTTTTCTTGTCATAATTTCATTTTGATCATCATTCCTCCAATAGAAATTTTATCATTTCATCAGCATAGTACTTACAAAGATCATATTCCCTTTTAGACAAATTATTTTAAGCAGCCAAGTTTAGTTTATTTTGGTTTCATGCCATAAATTATGCTAATTTATGAAGATTACTTCTTATTGGATGCTTGTAGTATTCATATATTTAAATGCAAAACCAAATATTAATATAAAGCATTATCAATTAAATTTTATTCCACCTGATAATGCTTTCTGTGATACATCATCTTAGCTGTGTAACTGATTTTGCATTACCATTTATGAGTGATACAGTTGTGCTCTTTCAAAAGTGTATATGCAATTAGCAGTGGTTATATTTATTTCATGAAATCTCTTTGAAGGTCCTTTGTTTTAGGAGTGTAAGTAGTTTCCAATTATAATATATTTATATATTTTAAAATCTCATTTTCATATGAAGATAAAGATGTGGTCATTCTTAGAAAGAAGTAACTCTTCAGAAGGAGACAGTCAAAAGCCAGAAATGTATTTGTTATCCCTTTGTAGTTGTTAGGACAGCAGCACTAATCTGGCCAACTAACCTTTCAAAGAACATGCAAAGTCAAAGATGTCAGGTTGTATCATTAAATATTCACTGGCAAAGTTTTTATATCAAAGACTGGAACTTTCGAAGATGCTCCTGGGACTTAGTGTACTCTAACATCTATTAATCCCTGATACCTTAGGTGACTTGTCATAGAAGTGCCACATTTACAAGTGGTATGCAAGAAGGCCCAAGAGGACAAATACAGTTAAAGGTCAAGGAAGCAATTAATATTCTCTACTTTTCCCTAAAGAACTTCCACAGCAAACTTTGCCCTCCCTCTGCACCCCCAGTCTTAGCAAGGCAAGTGCATATAGTGAAATGGAAGTTAAAGTTCAAATGAAACACATTAACAATATTATTTGGTTCTTAGAGCTCTTCCTGAATGTGAATGCATACAGTTGTTTAAGGTGAAGCACAGTGAAAAATATTAGAAGAGATAGCTCTTACTGAAGAATACCAAATTTCTATTTCTTTGCTTCCCCTGCATCTCTGTCAAGGGTAAATTTTGCCATAGTGGTAGAAGTTGGTGGTAGGCTGGTCCCTTCTTGTGGGGTGTGGTTAAGTTTTAGTTCTTTTGAGGAGTATATGATGCTGTTTGTATTCTAAGCAGGGCACACACATACAGACACACACACAAACAAGTACATGCACCCCAACCTTCTATTTTCTAGCCCTTCAAATTTTGAAAACTCTTTTGTGTTCACTCAAGTCTTTTCTTCTTTTTGATGAACATGTTGAACTCCCCAAAACTGTCCTTAGAAGGCTGAGTTTCAAGATTTCTCACTTCCCAGTTCCTACAATTTCTCAGTGTCCCTCTAAAGTGGGCCTTCCCTAACTGGATGTCCAAGTATAATCTGACTGGTGTAAAATAAGTCCTCTACCTCCCTGATTTTAGAAATTATATATATATATATATATTTATTTATTTTATTGCATTTTATGTTTTGGGGTACATGTGAAGAACATGCAAGATTGTTGCATAGGTACACACGTGGCAGTGTGATTTGCTGCCTTCCTCCCCATCACTTATATCTGGCATTTCTCCCCATGCTATCTCTCCCCAACTCCCCACCCCCCACTGACCCTCCCCTATTTTCCCCCAGCAGACCCCAGTGTGTAGTGCTCCCCTCCCTGTGTCCATGTGTTCTCATTGTTCAACACCCGCCTATGAGTGAGAACATGCGGTGTTTGATCTTCTGCTCTTGTGTCAGTTTGCATTGGCAACAAAAGCCAAAATAGACAAATGGGACCTAATCAAACTCCACAGCTTCTGCACGGCAAAAGAAACAGTCATTAGAGTGAATCGGCAACCAACAGATTGGGAAAAAATTTTTGCAGTTTACCCATTTGACAAAGGGCTGATATCCAGAATTTACAAAGAACTAAAACAGATTTACAAGAAAAAAACAAGCCCATTCAAAAGTGGGCAAAGGATACGAACAGATACTTTACAAAAGAAGACATACATGAGGCCAACAAACATATGAAAAAATACTCATCATCACTGGTCATCAGAGAAATGCAAATCAAAACTACATTGAGATACCATCTCACGCCAGTTAGAATGGCGATCATTAAAAAATCCGGAGACAACAGATGCTGGAGAGGATGTGGAGAAATAGGAACACTTTTACACTGTTGGTGGGAGTGTAAATTGGTTCAACCATTGTGGAAGACAGTGTGGCGATTCCTCAAGGACCTAGAAATAGAAATTCCATTTGACCCAGCAATCCCATTACTGGGTGTATATTGAAAGGATTATAAATCATTCTACTATAAGGACACGTGCATACGAATATTCATTGCAGCACTGTTTACAATAGCAAAGACCTGAAACCAACCCAAATGCCCATCGATGATAGACTGGACAGGGAAAATGTGGCACATATATACCATGGAATATTATGCAGCCATCAAAAAGAAACTATATTTTTAATGTGAGCTACTTGCACTGATTTTTTGATGGCCATATTAAACTTTGACTCATATTGAGCCTGTGGCCAAGTAAATGTATATATCTGTCCCCACCCCTTATACAGTGCTGCTAAACTCAGGCTGAATACCATCTTTAGACTTACTAAATTTCACATTGCTAAGGCCAATCCATTGTTATAACTCAAGATATTCTGCATCACATTTAGTTTTGTATTATACTTGTCCTCATCACGTTTATATATTCTGAAAATTTTTTAATTGTAATGTCATCAGTTAGTCAAACCATTGACAAAACTGTTCATCGAGGCAAAGCTGAAAACACACCATTTATGAGAAATGTCTATCCAAGTGGGCACCAATGCCGAGTGCCTTGAGAATACCAGGGAAAAGCACTCATCCAATCCAACAATTCTTCACAGAGTTGCCATGAGATACCACATTTGTGTCTGTGTAGTTCTAATTTTTCCAAGGTTAGGGACCATGTCTATTTGGCTAACTACTGTATTCCATCATCCAGCACCATGCCTGGCACACAGAACAATTGCAATTGCACTGTGTCGCCAATATGAAGAGTTGGGTTCTTTTTTTTCAATATTAATTTTCTTTCTTATTATACTTTAAGTTCTGGGGTACACGTGCAGAATGTGCAGATTTGTTACATAGGTATACACATGCCATGGTGGTTTGCTGCACTCATCAAATCATCATATACATTAGGTATTTCTCCTAATGCTATCCCTCCCCTAGCCCCTCACCCCACAACAGACCCCAGTGTATGATATTCCCCTCCCTATGACCATGTGTTCTTGTTCTCATTGTTTAACACCCACTTATGAGTGAGAACATGTGGTGTTTGGTTTTCTGTTCTTGTGTTAGTTTGCTGAGAATGATGGTTTCCAGCTTCATCCATGTCTCTGCAAAGGACATGAACTCATCCTTTTTTACGGCTGCGTAATATTCCATCGTATGTATGGGCCACATTTTCTTTGTCCAGTCTATCATTGATGGGCATTTGGGTTGGTTCCAAGTCTTTGTGATTGTGAATAGTGCTACAATAAACATATGTGTGCATGTGTCTTTATAGCAGAATGATTTATAATCCTTTGAGTATATACCCAATAATGGGATTGGTGGGTCAAATAGTATTTCTGGTTTTAGATCCTTGAGGAATTGCCACACTCACTGTCTTCCACAATGGTTGGACTAATTTACACTCCCACCAACAGTATAAAAGCATTCCTGTTTCTCTACATCCTCTCTAGCATCTATTGCTTCCTAACTTTTTAATGATTGCCATTCTAACTGGCATGAGATGGTATCTCATTGTGATTTTGATTTGCATTTCTCTAATGACCAGTGATGATGAGCTTTTTTCCGCCCCCATATGTTAGTTGGCTGCCTAAATGTCTTCTTTTGAGAAGTGTCTGTGCATATCCTTCTCCCACTTTTTGAAGGGGTTGTTGTTTTTTTTCTTGTAACTTTAAGTTCTTTGTAGATTCTGGATATTAGTCCTTTGTCAGATGGAGAGATTGCAAAAACGTTCTCACATTCTGTAGGTTGCCTTTTCACTCTGATGATAGTTTCTTTTGCTGTGCAAAAGCTCTTTTTTTTTTTTTGAGATGGAGTTTCGCTCTTGTTACCCAGGCTGGAGTGCAATGGCGCGATCTCGGCTCACCACAACCTCCGTCTCCTGGGTTCAGGCAATTCTCCTGCCTCAGCCTCCTCAGTAGCTGGGATTACAGGCACGCGCCACCATGCCCAGCTAATTTTTTGTATTTTTAGTAGAGACGGGGTTTCACCTTGTTGACCAGGATGGTCTCGATCTCTTGACCTTGTGATCCACCCGCCTCGGCCTCCCAAAGTGCTGGGATTACAGGCTTGAGCCACCGCGCCCGGCCTCAAAAGCTCTTTAGTTCTTATATTCCATCACCAATCTTTTTCTTATTCTAGACAAACTGATTGGTGGCTCTTAAAATATATTGCTTTAAAAAATATATCAGTTATTTTTGTTGCATGTAGCACTACAGAAGTAGATAGTTGTGACTTCAACTCCCATAAAAATAAGAAAGATATTGCCACCCTGATAAATGGAAATATTAACTTACATTGTGAGTCATTTTCAAACAGTTTACCTTATGAATTTTCTCCTAAAGTCAATTTCTGCTTAGACTAAGCAGAAATGCTGTATTTCCATCAGGTTCTTTTCTCTTTTCACGGATTTATTAATACAATCATTACCTTTTTCTTTTCCTTTCAGAGACCAGAGAAGACTATGATGACAAGCAGGTGGTCACAGAGATCATGGCAAGATGTTTTATTCCGACTGTGATAACAAATATTTCCTGGGAAATCTTTCATTTTATTGGTCATGAGATTCGAATTACTGAGGCCATGGATTGTTATGGTGCTGTTGTTTGGCCATCGGTATAATTTCATACAGAATTTGTTACATTCTAATTATTTTTCCAGCCAGTTTTGTTAATTATCATGGTTTATTTGGAAGAAGAAAACAGGTTCCATACCCCTTCTTTGTGACCTCAAATGATGCTACACTTTAGAAATCATATGATTGGGAAATTACTTCTCCCAATTAATTCTATAATTAATTCTATTTTTTTTTTGAGATGGAGTATTGCTCTGTAGCCCAGGATGGAGTGCAGTGGTGTGATCTCAGCTCACTGCAAGCTCCACCTCCTAGGTTCAAAAGATTCTCCTGCCTCAGTATCCCGAGTAGCTGGGACTACAGGTGTGCACCACCACGCCCAGCCGTTTTTTGTAATTTTAGTAGGAATGAGTTTCACCATGTTGGCCATACTGATTTCAAACTCCTTGCCTCAAGTAATCCATCCATCTCCATCTCCCAAGGTGCTGGGATTATAGGCGTGAGCCACCACATCGGGCCTCAATTAATTCCATTTCAACTTTATCAAAATTTGCAGGATTAACAAAGGATGTTGTTTACTTCTTCATTTTTAAAAATAAGAGTTTAGAGTAGTAAACATTTTTATTTCCCCTTTTATTAGCTCCATTTGAGTTCAACAATTACAATGAAGTCTTTATGAGTCTCACATGTATAATGTCCTCAAAGACCCCCTCTCCTTTACCAACTGTCCCATGAAGAGTAGTGGACTCACCACCCCACCTGCCCCAATTCCACACACTACTTGGAAATGACTAGTATTATCAGAAGTTGCCTCCTTTCAAAATGATCCAACCTAAGCAACTGAATTCCATATTTTTAGTTATCTCTTTTTTTCCTCCCAATAATCTCCATAGAGTTTTTCTAGCAGAAATGTTGACTCTCTCATAGGATGTAGTTTTGTTGACATTTTCTGGAGTGATGTACAGGTACACACATGAATACACTCACCTACTCACATGTGCGTGCAGACATACCATAACATTAGCGGCATATTTATCCAATAGAGCTTAATTTACTTTCTGTTATTATTTGCCAAGCACCCATTTTTTCTTTTTTCAAACTTTCATAGGCCCTTGTTCTATGCTATTTCCTGGAAACAAATGCAAAGCAGTATAATATGGTGGACAAAAACGTGATTGAAATTGGAGCTGGAACAGGGCTAGTCTCCATTGTGGCAAGTTTACTTGGTAAGTGAAATATTTTTGATTGGGTAGGGGGAATGCCAGATAATTTAATGATCAGATAACATTAGTTGTTTTACTATCCAGTGTACTATGACCTGCGCCAATCTGTGACTCCTTAACTGTTTGAATGGGCTTCATCCAGAAACTGCAGATGTTAAAGTCTCCTTACCGGTTTCTTTCATAGTTTTCTGTGTTAAGTTGTGTTAATTCTTCTTGGGGAATACTGTCACAAGCCTTAGATGGAGTGTTCTAAATAGGAGGTGCATGGAAGCATTCTGGTTGCAAGAGGAGAAATGTGAAACAGGCAGAGACAGATTCTATTGCTGCTGATTCAGATGTACTTTAGATTTTAGTGCCATTTCAGTGTCCCCATGTAGCTGTAGATTCCTTTTGAGTTTTGAAGCACTATGCTTTTATGAAAAAGCACCTGTTAGAATAGGGAGAGAGTATTAGGAATCACATAAAAATCACACGTCTGCTTTTATTTTTAGGTGTTTGTGTTTGAATTTGCTTTCTCAGTTCACAGTTCATCTCCATTCCTTTTTTTGAGATGGAATTTTGCTCTGTTGCCCAAACTAGAGTGCAGTGGCGTGATGTTGGCTCACTGTAATCTCCGCCTCTTGGGTTCAAGTGATTCTCCTGCCTCAGCCTCCATGAGTAGCTGGGACTATAGGCACGTACCACCATGACCAGATAATTTTTTTGTATTTTTAGTAGAGATGGGATTTCACCATGTTGGCCAGGATGGTTTCAAACTCTTGACCTCATGTGATCCACCTGCCTCAGCCTCCCAAAGTGCTGGGATTACAGGTGTGAGCCACCACACCCTGCTTATCCTCATTTTTTTTTTCTTTCTTTTTTTGTGATCCTGAGTTCTCTCACCAGCATCTTTTCTAACTAAGCATGTGATAGTTTTTAGTGTATGCCTGAGCCCGTTTCAGTTGTCTTTTTGTTATTGTTGTTATCTATCTCATTGTCTTAGTTTAACTCCTTCTCTGATGCGCACTACCCAGATCCATCCTGATTTCCTTGATCTTCAGAAGTGCACACATGTCACTCTAAAATCTTGAGAGGAATTTAACATTTAGCAATTTACAACTTTCAAATACTAGATATTTGTAAGACCTTTGAAATCTTCTCTGATAGATATATTTTTGAAGTTGCTGTGTCCTAATATTGTTTTCCAAAGTCACTATTCCATTTAGTAAGGATAGGTCAGAGTCACTATTCGATTTATACCCCAAAGCCTGGCTTAGGAGCAGAATTTATGCTTTGGGGAGTTGGTCCCTTGAGTTCGCTTGTCTAACTTGAACAAATATTAAAAGATAGAAACTTTGTTTAGTCAGTATTCTGAAAGTTGTAGTGTTTATCTCTCTAGACATAAAGATATTAAGTATAAGAGAGAGTTTACATTCAATATGGGCAACGGTGTGTTCCTGACCCTGAGATTTAAAAAAGATTTGTTGAAAATGATAGACCCACCCATCGTAGAATGTAAACGCTTCTATGTCTATATGATAGGCATATTCCCCTCCCATTTTAATATTTTCACAAAATACAATTGATGCCAAGAGATTCGTGGTATTGGCGCTGAGGAGTATCTTCTGATTTGGTCTGAGCTGAACTAGAGTTCTCTTTCATTTCTGCTTTCCCATTCTTTACCTGGTCTGCTTTTCTGATGCTGCAGAATTGGCCAATCCTAGATTTATTTGCAGATTATTTTCAGGCTTTGCTACTGCTCAAAATTTACTTTAGTGACCAAATTTCTACATATTTACTTCTGCCATGTTTCTTCCTGAAAAAGCCACTATTTAGTTTTATTTTGGAAATTGTTTACGTCTTCATCTATCACCAGTAGCTTTATGAACCCTATATATGTTGTGACTAGGTTTTAAACATCTTTTGGTGGGAAGATTTACGCTTGTGATGGGTCAAGTTGAAAACCTGAGCGCCAGCACGGACGTCAAGATACTTTCCACAAATGCCATTGAAAAGTCTTCTTTCCTCCCCCTGCTTCTCACATGAACACTTCCTCTTCAACTATGGGATGTCCGATGTTACCTACACTCATTTGGTCTCACATGACTGAGGCTCAGAATTCTTTTAGGGAGGTACCTATTCTTTCATCATTCCAATGAGGGTGCCAAATATTTTGACTTTCCCTTTCTCTCCTGGTATGTAGTAGGTAAATAGGAAAACAGCAACAATAGTAACAGCAAAACATACCAGAACAAAAGAGCAGGAGAACATAAAAAATGCAGTGGTGTGCAAAAGTACCATGGGTCTCTCTCTCCCTCTCTCTCTCTCTCTCTTCTTTTTTTATTTAAGCAGAGGCACATAGCTGCCTTAGCTCCATTTGAAAGGGATTCCCTTTCTGTGTATAGTTACTAACCAGTCTTTTTGGAGGTACTAACAATTGTGCAGCATTGCAAAGTGCATGTTGGCTTGAAGCTTTTGACTGTTCTACCTTATCCCACGAGGGTTACTTTCTCTGCTGTCCTTTGTTTCACAGGTGCTCATGTGACGGCCACAGATTTACCCGAATTACTTGGAAACCTGCAATATAATATTTCCCGAAACACAAAAATGAAAAGCAAGCATTTGCCGCAGGTTAAAGAACTCTCCTGGGGCGTAGCGTTAGATACAAGCTTCCCCAGATCTTCTAATAATTTTGACTATGTTTTGGCAGCAGACGTGGTCTACGCTCATCCGTTCTTGGAAGAGCTCCTCATTACCTTTGACCATCTGTGCAAAGAAACCACCATCATCCTCTGGGCCATGAAATTCAGGCTGGAGAAGGAAAATAAATTTGTAGATAGATTTAAGGAGTTGTTTGACCTGGAGGAAATTTCCAGTTTCCCCAGCCTGAATATTAAGTTGTATAAAGCTGTGAAGAAAAGCCAGAGGAGGATATGACATCCTCGATGAGGACATGGAAATGCTAAGGCAATTTTTAGCAGATAATCACTTTAAAGAAAACCCTGCATAATCTCCTGTGCCACTGAGATTCCCAAGGAGAAATACACAGACACACATGCACACACATACCCCACTATGAGAATAGAAGATAGTTTCACAAATTTGCCTCACCTTGGGCAGTAATTTTTCCATATACTGCACGTGAGTCTGTAGGACTAGTTTGTCCCTGTCAGCACCCAGGCCGTGAACCTGCTTTCCATTCATGCGGTAATAGGAGCTCTTGGCAAAGTCACACCGTGTCATCATTGTCTGCTCTCATTCCTTACATCACAATTTATTATTTTAATCAATGGTGCAATTATTATTTTTAATGTATAATCACAAAATGATAGTTTTTAATATCTCTTCAGTGAACATTGTTATAATTCTTTTAAACATAAGCTTATGTGATTCTTTCTTTAGAAATGAGGAAATTGACTACAGTGGTATCTGCAAATAAATCTGAACAGGCAGATACATAGTATAATGGTAAATCTCAGACTTTTGTGGTTTTCGTGAGTGCCAGCTTATAGGTGGCCTATCATCTCTGCCTGGCAGGGTAGGCTCCTAATCTAACTTCTGAAATCAGTCAAGCTTGTGGATTTGAGGTCATGGACGTTTTATTCTACCAAATGAGAAATGAATGAATGCAAACAAAAATTGTTGAGATTTTGGAGAAGTTATTGTTTTGTTTTAAGTCAACTATCATTATTTTGTATCACAGAAACAGACATAAGTATAAACACTTTGAGTTAAAATACACGTGAAAAGATTTAGGTCTCTGATCTCAGATAATTAGACATATACAGTAGTTGGTTTTAAAGTTTAAAGCTCTTTTGATGAACATAAATACATCTAGATATTTGAAATACTATGTGATTTTTTTTCACATAGGCTTTCCTTAGAGACTAGAATAAAGTCTGTAGTAATTGAAGTCAGTGCAAAAAGAGCAAAGAATTAGGATTTTGTACTATGTAACCACCTAGAGGACACTGGTTGGCAATTACTCTGCCGTGTCTGCAGCAACATTTTTTAGGCTGTTACTGGGCCCTCGGGGTGATACTTTCCTTTCTAGAATTAGTCCTTTCTGCTTTGCTGAAAGTTTTCTGTCCACTCCAGGCTGAGTATAGTTGAAAAGAATATTTTCTAGGACTCTGATCAGTAAGTCAGGATATAAATATACTCCAGTGTATTTTTTATTTTTAGTACTTGTAGTTCATAGGACCAATATTTACATGGTTCTTTGCCATTTTCACAGTCTGTTACTTACATAAAGTCATTTAATCCTCAGTCATTCTAAGAGGTAGAAGCTATGTTATCCCTACTTCACAGATGAAGAAACTAAGGCTGAGACGACCTCAGGCTACACATCTGCAGAGTGGCAGTGCTAGGACATTCAAGCCCAGGTCTGTTTAAGCCCAAAGCCTGTATTAACCACTGCACTGTCTGTATATATGTAAAACAAGAATTTTCAAACTTTTAAAAACAAGTGAAGTCATTTCTTCAAAATGAAATAAATATCCAGAAAGATAGGCAAATACATTAGAAAAAAATGAGACCTGTTCCATTTTAAAACTTTTATTTCCTATGTGAGGAGGTCAGGGAAGGCTTGTTTCAAAGGCAATATTTGGGTGAAGCTGACAGGAGGTCGCAGTGCAGATGTCTGGGGAAAGGTGTTACAGGCAGAAGGAACAAGACACAGGGATCCCGAGGCAGGGGCCAGCCAATCCTCTGGAAATATCAAAGGCCAGATTGCTTGGTGCAGAGTGAGCAGGAATTCAGAAAGGCTACAGGGAGCTAGGTCGCGTAGGACTGTGTTGCAGGCTTGGTTCTCCAGAAACAGACTCTGAGAGGGAATTGGGTGAGCAGGTCATGTTTTAGGGAGTGCTGTTGAAATGAAGACAAATGGAAAGGAGTGGGAGGAAGTAGGATAGAAACAGGTCGAGCTGCAGTGCAGACCCAGTAACTGTCTGAGGTGACCCCCACATGGAGCACTGGCCTGAGAGTGGCCTCTGGAGTTGTCCTGATTAGGGTGATGTATCTGGGTCGTGATGACCCCATGTGGCCCAGTCATTGGATATGGGCTGCCCTGGGAAGACTCTGTGACCTTGGGTGAGGTGACATCAGCTGATACAGTCCTGAAGACGTTGACAGCTGGGGAATGCCTGCCACCAGCTCTAGCAGCAGGGGATTAGGTCACCCTGAAGAGGAGCTGGGCGGCTCATCACAGGGTCCAGCACGACCTTCGGGCCTCAGAAGGAGCTCTGGCTTTTCTTCCGGTGGAATGGAGAATCTTTGGATGGTTTTGTGAGTAGAGGAGTGAAGTAACCTTTTTGCATGTAAAGACCACTCTGGCTGGCATTTTGAGACTAGAATGGGGAGAGATGAGACCAGGGAGAAGCTGCGGCAATCTGATGAGGCAGCCTGCGTTGGGGTGGCAAGAAATGGCCAGTTCTACATGTATTTGGCTGCCAGAGCCAACAGATCTTCCCACTATATAGGGTGTAGAGTGTGTGGGAGAGAGAGTCAGGGCTGAGTCACTGTGCATAAATTTGGAGTCAGCAGCTTAGAGATGGCTTGTGAAGCTCCTTCAGGGGACAGAAAGACTAGACAGAGTAAAACAAGGACTAGGCCCGAGTCATTAAGAGATCACATATGGGTGTGTATATGGAGATAATTTTGAAGATTCTACACACTCCCCCCTACTCCAGTTACATGAGTATCTGTTGACTCTAAAAAACATGAATTTAACACCACAGTGGTTTTTGAACTTGATAATAGAGTTCTAAAGTTCCCAAAAGCTTCCTCAAGAGGCCTCTAGGGTCCTGAGAGTTGTAAATGCAGCAGGAGCCTTCAGGTAACAAATGAAAAATGATTCTTCTGCTTAGAAAATATTTGAATATCATCACTAAATTATTTTTAGGTAGAATAGATAAAGTGTCTTTTCAAATTTAGCATTAGGACTAAACCAACCATACAGTTCTGAAAAGCTCCTCTTTCTCTCTGTGCCGATCTGTCAAACACAGCGTTCCAGACTCATTGTTCTATTCTGTTTTTAGCACTCACTCCCAAAGTGTAACCCCCACCCCCACACACCAGGTCCCTCTTTTTCCACTTCATTCTACTATTCACTTCATTCTTTAATTCTTTTGTCTTTTTGCTGCAGTTTCGCCATACTTTTTTAGATCCAATTTTATAATAATTTAATTTCAAAAGATGTAATTGGAATTGGAATAGGCCTTTTGTACCTTACCTTTCTTTTGTTTTTTAATGACTGGGAATCGATTTGTTAACTTAATCCAAGGGAGTTATACTATGAAGTTTTGCACTTTTTTATCTGGCTTTTTGACAAGTTAGACCATATTATTAAAAACCTCGGTCCAATTCTTTCAGTAACTTTCTGGATTTTTCAATAGAATGAACTTACTGATTGTCAAGGTTTTAATCTAGGTTATTACAGAAGAGCTATCACTCCACAGAAGACACCCCAACTGGCAGGGCATTCTCTGCAGCTTAAAATTGCGCACAGGTAACCATGCGAGTTCTGTTCTCTAGACCCTATCGACGGTCTTTTGGAAACTAAGTACTGCACTAAAACCTTCTATCTTGGAATGTACCCACTTCTATCTTTTATTTGTACCCATTTTTGCCTACCAGAATTTATGAAAAAAAGTTTTCTTTCATTCTATATTCATACTCCGTTCCCTTTCTTTTGGATAAAGAATTGGTGACATTGGGTAACTTCCTATCATATCTGCAGCCAAATAGAATATTGAATATTGTGGAAGAAAAAAGATGAGGAAACATAACAGAAGAGGCTGTTCCCTTTTTTCATTAAGGCCTCAGAGTCTAGGAGCTTGGCGTTCTCGGTGAATGCTTGGTCTTTATACACAGAGACCATGCCTCATTTGTTTAGGTAGCACTATTTGCACATGAGCAGACAAATAATTTCTAAATATCATTTGGAAGTGAAACACATCCGCTGAGTAGAATTTTGATTCAAGAAGACATTTGCAGGTATTAACTTTGAAAACAAGCTAGGAACTTTGGATTGTAGATAGTAGATATAAAAGAATTAAACTCAACTGTAAGTAAATCAGACAAGTAAGCTAATTGATAAGACTAAAATAGATTTAATATTCTGTGCTTCTTTCTACTTCATTTTAATTTAGTTTTCATGGAAATCTGTAGGTGAAGGAAATAAAAAAAAATGGTCAAAAATATGTATTTTTAAGACATATATAAATTATAAGGCAGTAATAGGAAATAGTATTGGGAATGGCACAAGTGAATAATTCGTAAAAGTGTTAGTGGGAATACAGACACAGCAAAATTTAAAAATTATAGGCGTTTGTGTTAGTGTGTAAGTGTGTGGACCTAGTTCCTTCTGTCTTCTTTATGAAGCCTGAAAGTGGTTTGCGAAGGAGTTCCACACCCAGGTATTGCCATGTTTAAGTTTGTGATATGAAGTTAAGTGTAGGATATTACCTGCAAGTCCAGTGTCAATGTTTGCTTTCCTTCAAAGTTCTACACAAAATCAAAGACAGCGTTCTGTATAACTATACCATAGTGTTAATGGGATAGTTGTGTCTTAGGTGCCTTGGTTAGCATCAATTAGTTCTGAGGTCATATTAACTCCTTTTTGAAGAATTCCTGAGCTGGACATTTGCGTTTACTCAGATCTCATATAGCTGAGTAGTATTTAGATTGCTGGGCATACACTATTGACTGCTTATTCTATTGAACCAACCTTTGGTCTCTATCACGAGCGGTGCTTTCATTGGGTAAGCTGAAAGGCAGGATCTTTTTCCTCTCAATTTTCTCAATTTCTTTGTTTCTAAGGCAGTTGTCTTTTCCTGAAATCCAATCAAGTTTTAGAATTGGCGCCTACCATCAAGGAATTTCAAGGGATCACTAAAAACGATAACAGATGTCCAGGTCAGTTTTGTGATAAACAGTACTAATGAAAAAAAACATAGAAAAATATTGAATATCTGCTGCCAACCATGAACACGTTACCAGACCAAAACACATTGCTTGGTTTTCCAAACAAAAACACAAACAGAATAAGATTAAGACATGCCATTAAAAATATTTTAAGAGCTGGGCATTATTTCATGATGTCACAAATGTAAGTCTAAAAATTTTAAAGTGACTTACTTGGCAAATGCTAGATTTTGTAGTTTAGGTTTTTGAAATTTCTATATTTCCATTCTCCACAGTCTGTAATGCCTATATGTCTGTTTTAATTTTAAAATACCTTAACTGAATTAAAAAAAAATTGTTTTAGTGTCATGATTTAATTTGGGTTTTCTTATCTAGTGCCATGATTTAATTTGGGTTTCTTATCTACTTCTATGTTTTCTTTGTTAGTAGACTATAAATCATAATGACAAAGGTTGTCTCTTTGTCACAAACCATCATAAATAAGCCCAAAGGACAGGCCATAAAAATGTAAGAAATTCTTAGATTAAAAAGCATGAGTAATGCTTCTACCTACATGGCAGGCACAGGTAAAAGTACACTTGGCAACTGGTAAATTATTAACACTTTTCTACCAAGGATTTCCTCCTTCCTTAGTATATCTGTGATTAATAGATAGTGAATTTAAGAATTAGAAGATGTAAAACATAATAAGTTTTTTTGTGATCATGTATTGGGAAGAAATTAAGGAAACATTTTGCACAACATTCAAGGGGTCAGGGGAGCAAAGTGCTAGAACTTTTGGGAACAGATTTCATATTTTCTTTGAAGAAATAATTCAAGGAGGCTTAAAGGGAATAAGAATGCAACAATTAATACATAATAAATAGTTGAATAAAGAATAATGAATGCAACTACCTTTTACTTTCCTTGAATTTTAGTTTTTCTTCTTTTGGAAGCCTCTAATGGTTGTCATTCATTCATTTATTTGGCATTTACTGAAAACCCAAAATATGCCAAGTAGGGGCTACAGACACAGTAGTGAACAGGCAGACAGGGCCAGTCCTTACGGAGATCATGAGCTCGGCACAGATGGGCAGAGGCAGAGCTGGGGATGGCCTGGTAGGGGAAATACATGAAAACCAATCAGTGCTAGGTGTCCTGGCAGTGGGAGCCTAATCCATAACCAGGGAATAGTTAGGGCTTCCAGGAGAAGGTGTAGCTGTGTGAAGGAGATGGAGGTGAGGGCACAGAGGAGAGACGGGACATGTCCTAGGCAGAAGGAAGGGTGTGCGCTAAGCTTTGGAGGGAAATAGGAGTGACCTGTTCTGATGACTCGCTAGAAAGATTGTAGCTTCTGTGAACATTTGATGAGGTAATAACCATTATCAGTGGAATACTCACTGCTTTCAGGTCTGTTTTAGAGATTTCCAATATAGCATCTCACTGAATTATCCTGAAAACCCAAGTGGCATTAGCCCAATTTATGTATGAAGATATTGAAGCTCAGCAGAAATAAGCCTCCTCCCAGGTTACACATGGGTGGCAGTTGTTGGGCTGGGAACCTCTGTCCCTATGACACCAAAGCTTGTGCTTTTTACAGAGTATGACCTTGTGTAAGTTTTCCACTCTGAGCCCTGCAAGGAAATTCCAAATTTTAATTTTATTCTAGCTAATTAGGAGCTATCCAGTTTTGTGAACCTTGTCTTCATTTGCCACCTGAGCGCAAATTAGCTTAAGTGGGCTACTCTTGAGATGGACCCGCAGAGATGTACTCCTGTTCATAATATGTCTCCAAGAGTAGAATTTTATGAATCCACGTATATACCCATCAAAGACTTCACTAAGTTTTTCTTTGCAAGGAATATTGAGCACATATTAGAGCAATTAATATAAAAGTGTATGTTGATCTTAAAACAACCAATGTGGGGAGCAAAAAAGACCCTATTACATAAAAAAGGTGCTGCAGTGGAAGCAAATGCTGTTCTTTTTCTTCGGCAACGGCTCAGGAAGAACAAAATGAATGAAGTGTGGGCTGCCCTCGGATGACTTTTTGGCAGAGATGGCCAAGGGGGTGGGGCTGAACTTTAAAACATCTGATCTGTTTGTGGCTGTGTTCTGTGAACAGTGCTGATGTTTATAGGTCTGTTACTAGGCGATAACTCTCCCTGCCTCAGCAGGGTTAAGCCCTGGGGTGATGTGAGAACACCAGTTCTTGGAAACCACCTTTCACAATCTTTCAACGAGAGGGCACGCATTGACCAGTCAGCACAGCCTTCCAATGCCAAAGAGACCTGGTGAGAGCCTGGAAGGACACCAGCACCTTCGGCAGCAAAAGGCTTGTCTAAGTGGAAATGGCCTTTGGCGCCCGTTAGCTTGAGGTTGACCAGGCATGTCTGTCCCTGGAGGGTGATATCGCAGAGTAAGCCATAAACCTTGGCTGGAGCCCTCCAACAGGTGACGGGACGTAAGCAGATGTAGGAGCGGGGCGGTAGGCAGGTGGTGGTGGTGGGGGTGTTGGCTTGGCGAGCTGCCATGATGTCAGAGGCTGTCCTGCTGTCCTGCGAGCACGATGTGCACAGGACAGTGCTGACTGCCAGAGGAGAGCAGAGGCAAGGCAGCTACTGAATGTTCCAGAATGGAGAGGAGGGAAAACGTATTTAAAACATCTTGTGGGAAATAGCTACCCGGCGCAGGCACAACTTCAAAAGCGGGATGGTAAAAATGGAAACCTGAGGGAGTAACCCCAAGGTTATTGAGGAAAGGAGTCACAGGAAAGAGAAACAGGATGTTTCTCTCTGATAGTCTCTTTATTTTCCTTCTTTCTGGTTGATTTCTGAGCGGACCGGCAGAGCCTGAAGGCTGCTGATTGTCATCTCTACGAAGCAGGTGACTGAATATGGAGTTTGATAAATGCAAGAAGTCAAAGCCAACATCTGAGGAACTTTCAGCTGGGATGCTGATGCAATCTCTCTTAGATAAAATACTTGCTTTGGTTCTATTTCATGCTCCTACCAAGTAGGTGAAATTCTAAGGATTTAGACACCATTACCCCAGAGCTCCCAGAATAAAATTCCAGTCTGAAATTACAGTTGATTGCCACTGGGAGGCCCTGGTGATCTGCAAAATGAAATTTCCTTCTGAATAAACAAGTGCAAATAAAAGAAATTGTTTAAGCAAGTCCATTGAATTATAAAAGATGATATGCAAATGCGTCAAAAGCTGCAAGGGGTAAAAACACAACAGTGTAATGTGATAAATGCGTGGTGTTGTCTTCTTTAATTAGGTATTGTTGAAATTCCACTCCTTGCCTGCACACTATGCACACATTACGAAGTACGTTCTCCAAGAAAAGGAGAAATAGAGGCTGGTTTGTAGTTCTTTGAACACTGTACAGGTGTTCATTGGTGTGTGGTGAGGTGGAAGGGCTGACGAGGGAGGAGACGGAAGAGGAGGTGAGTGGAAGGGAATGAAGACAGGGAGCAAGCAGAGAGGACACTGGAGTGGGAAGAGAGGTTTTTGTTCTTATATCCTGAGAAGAAATGTCTGATCAGACTTGTCAGATTTCCATTTTCTGTAATCGAGTGGTTCTCAAACCTGAGGCTGTATCAGAATCACCTGGAGGTTTTGTCAAAACACAGGTTGCTGAACTCCAACCCCAGAGTTTCTGATTCAGTGATGTGGAATGGGGCCGGAAGATTTGTGTTTCTAAGTTCCTGGTGATGCTGATGCTCCTGGTCTGGGAACCAGACTTTGAGACCCACTGTGTGGTTGTACACGATGTCTCCATCTTCTGATGTCAACATTTGAGATTGGGGCATGTTGGTATGGAAGGGATATGCTTCTACCTACCTGATCCAGTGTTTTCACCAGTCATTTCATCTGCTGTGTCTGATGATTTGCATCTCTAAAATGCACCTCTTTCTGGAAGGAGCACCTCCTCATGAGGCCTTCTATGAGGCCTTCTATGAACTACCTGGGTAGATCCCTCTAGGCTCCATCCTTCCCAGGTTCTTGCAAGACTGCATGACACAGGCTAACATTTTTTCATGGACTCAATATTCTTTTATGTTTATGTGCCACGTATGCCCACTTGAGTCTAACACTTTAAGCATAGTTATAAATAGTCTATGAAGTGAAGAGGAAGTGAGAAAAATTGTGCAGAGACTATTTGACAGTCAGAGACTAAGGGGATATTTCTTGAAATTCTAGTTCGGGGACTCTGAATATGAGATGTATGTAAGCTATTAAAGAACAGACAGTGACAGTGTTTAATTTTATTGCTGCAGTGTGTAATAGCTCCAAATTCAGACAGGCTCTTAATTAAAAAAGTGCTCCTAGTACCAGAGATTGGATTTGCAACCTTTCTTGGTCTTCAGAGGTATGATTCTGATATATATGCACAGTGACAATGTTGAGCATGGGATCTGTGGGGTACAGAGGAGTTTGCAAGGGATGGGGGGTAGAGTGGGGGAAGCTCAGTCAAAGAGGCCTGGATTTCATCATTGGAGGGGGTGTACCTGGGCATGCACCTTGTTTTCACCCACCTTCACCACTTGCTGGATAAGCTAGAAGGTAGTTGGCATTGGTGAGATTTTTGTTTTTGTTTTGTTTTGTTTTGTTTGAGATGGGGTCTCGCTCCTACAGCCTTGACCTCCCAGGCCCAAGTGATCCTTCCACCTCAGCATCCTGAGTAGCTGGGACTACAGGTGCATGCCACTACACCTGTATAATTTTTTGTATTTTTTTGTAGAGATGGAGTTTCACCATGTTGCCCAGGATGGTCTCGAGTTCCTGGGTTCAAGCAATCCATCCACCTTGGCCTCCCAAAGTCCTGGGATTACAGACTTGGTCCACTGTGACCAGCCCTGCTTGGTGAGTTTTTATTTTTTATTTTTGTCACAAGTGAAATATTCTGGCAGCAGTGGAGTATAGTATTTTTTTCTCTTCAAATTTGTGATGAATTCAGCGCCCATTCTTCCATGAAACTAGTATCATAATACCTTCAACTAGATAATCTTCATTAAGTAATTTGAAAACCTGAAATTTATGATTATCGTTGTAAAAAATAATTTTAAAATAAAAGGAATTTAAGAATGTTGACAGTGGAGGTGAAGGGAGGCGTTCATTTTCTCTTTCCTACTCTGAAGGCACAGTCATCACAGTGAAACATACCGGTCCAAAGCAGTTCTCAACCTTGGCTCCCGAGTGGAATCTTGTGGGAAGCTTTACGGAGATTCTGTTTCTCTGGTCCTGCCTTAATCCGTTGAATTTAGGACCATCAGGAGTGGGGATGGGTATATTTTTGGTGCAGAAATCTGTGTTTTTAAAATGTTCTCCACAAGATTTTGTTGGCCATTTTCTGGGACATATTGGTGAG